CCTTCTCCTACCTCCCTCCCTCCCCCTCTCTTCATTGTCCTCATGTCCTTTCCTCCATCCTGCTGAATTCGCGCTCAGGAGCTGGAGAAAAGAATCGAGGAGCTGGAACGAGCAGGTAAATCCTTCTCGCCCTTGCTTCACTTCTCACCCTCAGCCTCCTCCTCAGCCTCCTCCTCTCCCTCCAAGCAGCGTCACTTGATCTCCTCCCCATTCTTCGATGCTCTCCCACCCAACACAACGAGTGCGGAGGAAAACACCTCCCCGAGCTCCCAGCTGCACGCAAAGCGAGGCCTTCCTCTGGACTGCGAGGTCTGCATCTGCCTTACTCCCCCTCCTCCTCCTTTCCCACCTCTCCCTTCCTCGTGTTTGCTCTGCCTCCCCCCTCTGATCCTCTGCAGTGGCATACGCCAAAGGCAGCAGCAGCCAACAGGGTCCTGGACAAGCTGCGAGCAGGAGGAGGGGCAGCAGCAGCAGCAGCAGCAGAAGGTGTGGTGGGAGGTTGCGATGTCTTCTGACTCGAGCAGTGTCGAGCCCAGGAGATGTCATCGTGACCAACCTTGATACAGGCGAGAAGATCCCTGGTGAGAAGCGGAGGAGGAGGATGCGGGTGGGGGGAGGGGGGCGACGAGGAGGAGATGGGAGGGTTTAACTCCGACGAGCAGCAAAGCATGCATTGAAGCACATCCTCCCTGCTACTAACATCGCGATCAAGAATTCAATCGTGAGCAGCTTCTTCACCCCCACCGCTCCGTCTACTCCCTCCTCCTCCATTACAGCCCCGCCCAACCCCATCCTTCTCTCACTTCCTCTCACTTCCGCTGCCTCTCAGGGTTTTATGTCGGAGAAGCTGTCAAGAATCGCGTCTGCGAGTTCTACAAGAAACGTCGAGGTCGATCAAGTTGCTTGTTGTTGTTTGTTATTAGATCTTGTTGCTTCTTGTTGCTGCAGCCGCCAGTGATAGTGATGATGATGATGATCATGCTGTTGTTATTGTTGTTGTTGACGACGACGATGACGATGATGATGGTTGTTGCCGCCATGTAGGAGACCAAGGCTCGAGCCCTGCGGCAGAAAGACGACCCTCTGTCTCCTCCTCGCAAGCGAGCGAAGCTGGACGGCACCAGCGAGCAGCAGCCATTCTCACCCAGCCCGGCCAGGAAGATCAGAGACATGTCGTCCGCCATGAGCCAAGAGAACATGGACCCCAACATCCTACTGGTGGAGCCTCCTGCCTCTGACTCCCCTCCTCTACAACTCCGCCCCCCCCCCCCTTCCTCCTCCTCCTCCTTCTCCACATCCCTCGACAAAGACATGCCTGACTGTTGCCGTCTCAGTCAAGCAAGAAGAAGAACACAGGGCTGCTCTTCTTTGACGGGCTGCCCAAGTGATCGACTTGTTCTTGCTGTCGTCTCCTGACCTCGTGGTGCAGGAGGAAATCAATGCATGTGGTGGAACAAGACCCTTCTCCCGAGGTCTGCTCCTCCCATGCTGAAGACAACAGCTCCAACAAGGGCCTCAGCAACATCCTGAAGCAGGCTAAGTGATCGTCCTCGCTCCTCTCCTCTACTTCTCGGCTCATCTGTCGACAGGAATACGCTGAGCGCGAACTTACTTGGGCTGGTCAAGCACAAGCAGAGCAGGGAGTCCATGTAGTGGGAGTGGAGACGATGGAGATGAAGCATTTGCAATGATTTCCCGTTTTTCTGTCAAGCTTGTTGACGTGTTTTGTGAGGAAAGTTGTACAACAAGAAAAATAGATGCATCGTTCGGGGAAGAATTGAGATGACGAATCCTTCAGATGGAACAGTGATGAAGTTGATACGAACAATGAGCTGTGATGATGTCGGGATGACTCATGCTGTTCAACATCGTCCTCCTCCTCTTCGTCTCCTCCCTTCCCTTTCCCGGTCCTCCTCGTCCCCATGCATGTTTTATGCATGTTTCACTGTCGGGGAGTTGCGGTTTTGTAGTGGGGTACGGCTTTAAAGTGAGGGGGTACAATCAACAGGGGTACTTATGAGGGTAGTATGACATATGAATACACCGGTAGTCATTGGAAGGTGCTCATGAAAAAGCAGGGTGGGTACAAAGAAAGGGGTGGTAGGGTGGTGCAAAGAGAAGACGCAATGCGCGTGATGCCTTTTATATCAGGCGGTGAGGGAGGGGGAGGAGGGACGGGGGGAGGAGGAGGAAGAGGAGGAGGAGGAGGAAGAGGAAAGACAGGAAGCGGGTTACATCATGTAGGCTGTCCATGAAAAAAGAGCAGCATGCTGTTGGGATCGTGTCATACAAGAAAGATGCTGAGAAGCCAAGGATGAAGGAGACGAAGGAGACAAGAAGGAGGCATGGAGATAGAATGGTGGAAGAACTGAAAAGAATTTGATCGAGATTTCTCAAGAAAGCTGACAAGAAAACTGCTGTCGACAGAAAGGAAAGTGCCTTCGACAGTATGAAGATGTGACAGGAAATCGTGACAGTCACCTCTTGCAAGCATGGTGTTCTTTCCGTTTGCTGCGTTGAGGTGCGACACCTGACACTTGCTCTTCCTCTCTCCTCACGATATTTCCAGACAAACGCGCAAGTGCGTGTTCACCTTACTGTTCTTCCTTGTCCTCGCCACGTATCCTCCCACACAGTCATCTAGGAACGGATTGATCCAACGGAAACACGTATGCCGACCTCATGCCGAGTTTCGTCGTCGACATGGTTCCTGGGAGGAACTTGAAAGTCCTGCTGTCCAGCATTCGTCCTGTTCTCCTGCATGGCGAGCTCCCCTGTTGAAGCTGAGGGGAGGAGTAAGGCCTAGATCGGAGTCGAGCGGCAAGCGGGGGCGCAAACCTTTACCTAAGAAGAAGATGAGGTCGAATATGCGCATACCCTCATGCCAATCCGTCTCCTACCTTCTCCCTCCCTATGCTTCCCAACCTCCAACTTTTCCTCTCCCTCTCCCTCTCCCTCTCCCTCTCCCTCTCCCTCTCTCCCTCCCTCCCCTTCCCTCCTTCTCTCCCTCTTCCCTGCTTCTCTCCCCCTTCCCCCCTCTCCTCTCTCCTCTTCCCCACGTCTTCTCTCCTCCTCGCTTCAGCCATGTTGACTCTGATCAAGGTATCGCGCTGGTTTTGACCCTCCTCGCATTTCGATCTCAGAAAGAGATCCCGAGCAGGTACGAGAAGCTGGCGACACCTGAAACATTGAAAAACTACTCCAGAGAATGCGCGAGCTCGGGTTGGAAGCAGAGGGGCCTCACTTCAGTGCAAGATACAAGTAAGGGGAGGGGAGGGGAGGGGAGGGGAGGGGAGGGGAGGGGAGGGGTAAGGGGAACAGAAGGGAGAGGAGAGGAGAGGAAGTGAGGTTAAGGCGGGAGGGGAGAGGAGAGAAGGTGAATGCGATCTGCCTTGTGCTCTTGTTGCTATCTTTGTATTTTGTGGTTTGTCTCAGTTGACTGTACTATCCCATTATGTTCCTCACTATCTTTCCAGGACGACCGACTTTGCCCCCGATGCAGTTATAGGCAGAGATCTTCAATATGAATACTCTTGGATGAAGGTCCTCGGCGCTCCCTCCCTCCCTCCTTCTCCTCCCTCCCTCCCTCCCTCCCTCCCTCCCTCCCTCCCTCCCTCCCTCCCTCCCTCCCTCTCTCCCTCTTTTCACCTCCTTGTCGTCTCTCTGTCGTCTACCCCCTTCCTCCTCTTCCTGTCGTCTCCTTTAGTCTCTCCTGCTGCTTTCTCAATCACGATCTTCAGGGGCATCTGTTGTTCCATCCCGACACCATGGAGCCTTTCAACTTCCATCGTTTCTTCCTCGATGACCCCAACGATCCCTTCCAAGCCGTGCGCGTCGACCCAAGGGACATGGACGACGCGGTGAGGGTCGATTGCAACTAGACTGCCATCCCTCCCTTGTGTGGAGCTGTTGGCTGTCCTGTTGTCTCGGGGATGGTGCGCGTGATATCTGCCTGACATGCTCGTCACAGATGCGAGAGAGAATGAAGAATCCTCACCTGTACATCCAAGGGATTCGCGACAAAGTCGATGAGTACTTCTACTTGAAGAGGACGAGGATCGAGGCCATGCAGGTCGCTGTGGAGCAGCTGACGAGCGCGCACAATCGGAATCAGCAGCAGCTGAAGCGCTTTCAAACCCCCGTCAGGTTCTTCGTGAACTCCTCGCAGTCTCTCCCTCAGACCATCTCCATGTGCACAAAACCCTCCATCGGAAGAGACCTCGCTTCAACCGCAGGCGATGCCCATTCTCCTCCTCCTCCTCCCGTCTCCATCATCTTCGATCACGGTTGGCACGCGTGGCCTTCCATCAACAGCAAGCAGCTGCTCTGCATCCCCAACGGCACCCTCCACCTCCTCGGAGCCGGCGATGCGCCATGGCTGTCCCCCGTGCAAGACAGGGAGGGGGAGGAGAGCACAGCGCATGAGGACTCCGTGCACAAGGGAAGGAAGGCAACGACTCTCTTTGGCAGCCTGTGGATGGACGAGGATAGCAGGGGAACTTGCTGCAAGCTGAAGCTGCTGCAGAACCACACCAGAGACCGGCGGTCGTTTGCTCTGAAAGCCTACGAGTACTTGTTGGAGGAGGAAAACCAAGAGGAGTGGGAGGGGGTGCAGGAGGGGATCGAAGACATGGACCCTTTCGACGATCCTTTCGCATGTGTGGCTGTGTTCGGAGACTGGAACTTTTCTTTCTGCGATCTGCGAGGAGGATACGATCATGTGATGAGCTTGAGAGAATCCGGAAGTGTCAACGTGTCTTATTGTTACTTCAACAACCTCCCACAGGTGATGACTGACAGTTGGTCTTGCAAGCTTCCTCTCACCTCAGCCCTTTCATTCGTGTCTCAGCTCTCCAGTTTTCTCCTCCTCCTCTCCCCTCTCCTCCTCTCCTCTCTGGGCCTTCCACCCCCCCCCCCCCCCACACCCCGCCCCGCCCTCCTTTCTGCCATGTTCTTCGCCTTCTGCCCCTTTCTTCATTCCCCTGCTCCTCCTCTCCCTTTCTCTTCTCCCTTTTCCTTCCCCTCTCCTGGTGTAATCTTTCCGCTCCCTCCTCATCATTGACATCAGGACGGAGACCGTGACCCTGTCAAGCATCCCTTGCACCAGATGTATGACGTCGTCAACAACCGCACGCTCCCCTTCCACGGGGCCCCGCCGGACATGACGGGCATCGTTTGCTACCATCGCTCTCTGGCCCGGGCTGAGGGCTGCGTCTTCGGGGACCTGCTATGGTGCGGCATGAGAGCCATCGACGAGTCTCGCATGGTTGCCGAAGGTGACGTCAGCACGCAGTCAAGAGCTTGTTTGTGATCCGAATGGTGTTTGATGGCGCGCGCGATGGAATGTGAAAGAGACGTTAGAGTTGAGATGTTTCTGCTTGCTGCTGTCTTGTACCTCTCGTCTTGTCTCCCAGACTATTTTTCTCATGTGTCATATTCATTATGATTCTGCTCCGTATCCTCCTGCTTCTTCTCTTTCATCGTTGATCATTCCTTCAGGATGCGTCTTCGCTACGTTCCAGACGGGGATGAATTTCAGGGACGATTCTCGTTCCTACGCCAGGGCATGTCAGTTCAACACGTCGGTCGCAGCTCTATTCGTCGAGCATCGATCATCCCTCCTTGCTGTTGAATGCAACATCAACCAGGTCAACTGTCATCGCCTCCTGCTCCTGCTCCTGCTCCTGCTCCTGCTCCTGCTCCTGCTCCTGCTCCTGCCCCTTCCGCTTCTATCCCTCGAGCTCCTGTTCCTTCCCTGTCCGCTCTTCATGCTGCTGATCAACCTACCCTTCCCACTACTCCTCCTGCTCCTGCTCCTATTGATCTGCCTTCTTCCGATTCTCCTCATTTTTCCCTTCCCCGCATCCTCCTCTGCATTTGTCTCTGATCAGCCCTTATCAGGCTGTGTTCGGCCTGATGCTTCTCGGCAACTCAACTTCCGTCATCAAGAGCAGCACCTTCTACAACTGCACCGACGGAGTTTTCTTTAGCATCGGCGAACCAACCTTCCAGGTTGGAGCTGTGGGAAGAGCAAATGCACCAGAGTCCGGGGGTTGAGGGAAGAGGGGAGCAGGGAGCAGGGAGCAGGGAGCAGGGAGCAGGAGGAACACGATTACAGCTAAATTGCTCACTCTCTCGCAGAAAGCTCAACTCGAGGACAACCATGTCGTCTGCTTTCCCAACGAGGAGAGGGAGTGCGGCTATACCTGGCTGAGCTTGCAGGTGAAGTCAAGAGGGGAAGACGAAAATTAGGGAAAGGAAAGGAGAGAGATGGAAGGGAGAAAGGAGGGAGGGAGGGGGAGGGAAGGAAAGAAAGGTAGTGGGGAGGAGGCAGGGAGGGGGAGGGAAGGGACAACATATGAGAAGGGGATGAGGAGGGAGGAAGGAGGAGGATGGAACAGACGTTTTGAGAGTGAGCTTGCAGAGGCCCAAGACGCTTGTTGAGAGGAATAACACAGTCATCAACGATCCCTACTACCCGGTACTGAAACGCTCTTCTCCTCCTCCCCTCTCACTTCGATGGTGCAGGGTACCTCTGACATCGCCGCGAAATACGACATGGTGGAAGCTTTTCTCAGCCCTGCCCTCTCCTCTCCCTTTCTGCTTCATCCCTCCCTCCCTCCCTCCCTCCCTCCCTCCCTCCTCCAGCCTCTCTCCTTCTTCCCCTGCCTTGAAACTTCTGACGCTGCTTCTTCTAACTTGTCAGTTCCCCAACGTAAGTGGCGTGCTGGGCCCAGAAGAGTTCGGCCAGCTGCTGGACTGGTTCGACAACGAGCTCGAAGACGATGCTACCCCCGAGCAAGACACGTCTGCCACGTGCGCTGCCCTCCAATTCAACCCCTTCCATCTCCTGCCCTCCTCTCCCAACCTCGCACCGCCTCCGTCGTCCTAACCCTCCGCTGCAGCCTCTCCCGCATCATGGATCTGGATAGGAGGCTGGCCACCATCGACAGACTGGCGAAGTGGAAGCGGAAGGTGAGTCACTGGGATCTTTCCGCTGCTGCGCTGACTCTTGCACTGAAGGGGTTGCGCACGACCAAGACGGAGAGGTTTCAAAGGAGTCAGCTGGTGAGAGACTGAGCGATCGTCTTCAACAAGTGACCTTGGATGCAGATGGCAAACAGCGGCCTTGATAGGGTAGCTGTAGACATATGATGACTTCAGATTGGAACCATCAGATTGGAACCATCAGATTGGAATCATCAGATTGGAATCATCAGTGTCCTGATCGGTTCGATTCACTATCCCAACCTCATCCTTTTTACCCTCATTGTATCGCTATTCCTTCATCCTAGTATACCACAGCACAAGCCATCCTATCCTCCCCACATTGCCCCGCCCCGCCCTCCCCTAACACCACAGCCCCTCCTCCTCCTCAAACTGCGAAAGAGGAAGGAGTCACTGGACTCAAGTCGTCACCGCATGTTCCTTACCGAGCATTCCAAGCTGTCGGGGAGCTCGTACTTGGAGTCCAGCAGCGGGACCGTCACCTCCCGCGGGCCCTTGGGCGATCGAATCTTAACACTCTGAAGGAGCATAATCAGTGACCATGGAATGATCACAAGTAAGGAGGATCAGAAATACTAGGAAGAAGAAGGAAAAAGAATGTATCACAGGAGGAAGACGGCAAAGAACCAGAAACAGTAGGAGGATCAGTGACAATACGAGGTTCAATTACAGGAGAAACTGCAACAATAGGAGAATACGTGACAATGGCAGGAGTAACAAGAGGGTCTCAATGACAGCAGAAGAATCAAGGAAATGGGAGAATTGGGAATAACGAGCAGCACCGAAACTTTGTATGAGATTTCACACTGATCCTTCACGGAAGCGAAGGGAACTATCGTCTGCCAATGTTCCATCAGCCCCTGCAAGAGAGAAGGAAGGACAAGGAGAGAGATAGAGTTTCAACTCATCGCAACAAACCCATACCCATGACCCCATCTCAACAAGACATTTCTACTCTCTCTCATTACAGCTACATGATGAGATAAACTCGACATGAAGTAGCAATGAAACAACCTCGATCGGCACTAATCTTCTTCTCCACGACGCTAGATCATGTCCACACATCTGGAAAGCAGAGAAAGTCATGAACAATCCTGGAGGATCACTCGCGTTTGGGCGGCACCTGACACAGACCGTTCGTCATGCTGCCCTCGGAGCCACAGGCAAGACAATCGCGGGTCAAGTTGGGCCGGAGGATATCAGGGCGTCTCAAAGACTTCTCGAAGATGACCTTCGACTTTCTCATGCTCAAGTGCTTGTCAGCCGCGGGAGGAAACAGCTCCGTCGGGGAAAACAAGGCAATCTTCCTCTGACCCTCTTCCAAAAAGCTAGCCATCCCTTGCATCACCGTCTGAATCGCACCAGGAGGATGCAATTCGCCTCCGGTTGCAACCTCAGCATCCACCCGCTCACTGTGGTCGTACAGAGAGGTCTTGAATGCGGGTCTCTCCGGTAACAGCCGATACCCCTGCTTGAAGAGCGACTCCCTCTCCTTCGCTAGCTCTTCTTGATTGCACCAATTCACCATCGCACCACAGCTCGCATGCAAACCCCGACCCCTCCCTCCTTCACCACCTTTCTTGCGTTCCTTTCTCCCTCAATGCCACCGTCTCCTGCGGGCAGTTCCGCCCGATCCCCGATCTGCTGGTCAAGTTTTGTTCCTTCTTGCCTGGTCAAAATTTGCTTTTTTGTTCGCTTCTGATGCTGTCTCTGCTCAGCTCCTACCAATCTCTTCCCATCTACCTCGCATATTCTCCTCCTCCTCCTTTGCTATCACCTTTGCTGTCCCGATGGGCAATCTTCACTCGGAGCGTTCCCCTCTTGCTCTCGTTTCGCCCATTCCATTCTTCACTTGGCGTTACTCGTTCATCATCGTACCCCCTACTATATCAACTTCAAGGATTACTATCGTTAAAAATCCACTTCCTATCTAGACTATGTACCGGTACTTTCAAGTACCCCTACCTATCCATATGAATCCATTTCCGCCAACTTTACAAGAAAAAGAAGTTCTCGGGTACCACAAAAGAAATCAATGAGGGTAGGGGTTATTTTCTAGGGGTACAGGACAAGATTTTGTGGACGATGCAGCGATAAAGACGGGTGATAGATGGTCAAATGTAGGGTACAAATTGATTACATGGATCTGAAAACAGGTAGGGTACTGGATGAAGGGGTAGCCGAAATTCTGAGTGGCTTCGACATCAGGGGTGGGTAAATTGAAAGGGTGGGTACAGGTACTCCGTTACCCACCATCTTTATTAATATTTCATGTTTCAAGCACCGGTACTCTATCCAAAAGTACCCCAGGGTATCATAATTATGACCCACCCACTCCCGTCACATTTTTACCATGTATCTATCGACCCAGCCCCTCACCACCTCACTACCCCTGCCATATTTTCATACCCCTACCTGACGAACCTTACTATGTGCAATGTGGCAAGATCATATGTAGAGTCATATTGAAAAGAACCTATGGTCCCAAAAAGCCTCACCCCTACCCACCTTCATGATAGAATTTTGTACAAATACCCCATGAAGAAATTCTACTACCCCTCTATTTCTCGGTCGTCACTGAAACCAGCCTGTAAAACTTCTTTTATTTTTACAGTACTACCTTTTCAGGTAAGTTTTTCCAATCGTTTCGATTTTTATTGAATTTTCCCATACAAATCGTTTACTCAAAGAACTTTGGTACATTTTTACAGTAGAGATTTTAAGCCTATTATTCACTCGGCACAAGTTGTACTAAGTCGGCGCCGCTTGACTGTTCACTGAGCCAGTGACCGGACCGTACCGGCGGCCGCTTCCCGGCGCCCGGGTCCCACGTTGCCGGACTCTCAGTGCTGGTCAGCCGCTCAGCCGTGAGTGGCCGGGCATTGAACCCGGCGTACGGTCAAGTTGGGTCAGCCGCTTCCGAAGTTCCGAGCCTTGGAGTGGAGTCCAGCCGCTGAGTGCCGCAGTGCCCGAGTCAGCCGGGCCCGCCCGGACACGGAGTGTCACACGGCACGGTCGGTCGGTCGGATCGGACGGTCCAGGATCGGACCCAGGGCCGATGATCGCCGTGAGATCATCCGATCCGACACAGAGTCGGATCGGACCGTTCAACGGTTCAACCGTCGTTCAGACTCGGAGCCGCGCGCACTCAGCGGCAGTACTACCGTACCAGCAACGGTTTGAGTAATAATAATGAACGATCGGCTGAGTGGATGCACCCTTACACAGACATAACGGATTCAACATCCGGCAGGGAGGGAGGCAAAAGTTTGTACTAGCCTAGTAGTGCTCGAAAGGTTTCGTGTTGAGGCCACTTCCGAGCGCCGTACCCCGTTGTGATGGCCGATTACGTTAAACCCATCTGACCAATTGCCGCAGACTCCACCCCGTGACCCCCCACCCCACTCTTTCCTTACAAAAGTACCCCCCTTTGTAAAGTCTAATTCCGTGGCAACCATGTGACAGGCAGGAGGTTGGATATGAAACGTTGCGATTTTAGAACTCTTCAAATCTGACGGCTACGTGCCTCATGATATATCATCAAACAGGCTAACTCCCCTCAGGACTATGAATAGCACCAAATGAAAGGCAGCAATATTCTATTATGCCTTGTGTCACTGCCGCAATTCTGTAAAGGACATTCGTTTGCCCCTTCATGTCGCATGGGAGGTGGTGTCCGAGATCACGAGGGAACAATCACCCGGTATCTCTATAAAGACCGTCCCCTCCTCTGCCCCTTCTGCCTTCTGGTTTCCTTTAAAAAGCACGTCCTTCTCCCACCCAGCACCGTCACTGTCTTCTTCTTCTGTTTCCATTCTTCCCCTCTTATCTGGATCCACTCTAGCTGCATTCTTGGTGGCTCCTTGTTTCCTCCCTCACATCCTCTATGCCTGCTTCTAATCCACCTCAGCCCGCACAGACATGTTTCTTTCTCCGAGCTTCTCGTACTCATCCTTCCTGCAACAAGCTTCCAAAGACTTTGCCTCTCATTCAGTCCGACACCACGCCCAGCCGTCTTCCAACAGTCTCGTCCGGCCTTGAAAGACCCGTGTCTCCCCTTAGCCGCGCCAAGCAGCTCGCAGCCCTCAAGTCAAGCATCGCCATGATCAAGGAGCACAGGAAGATCAAGGACGCATGGGGACTAGAGCAGGAGCTGTGAGGGCAGCCCTGGCGAGGAAGGGTCAGGAAGGTGGGGGTAGAGGGACCCCATACCGTGCGTGTAATATAGCTTGTTTGCAGGGATGTAGACTACTGATGATCTATGTGGTGGGTGTCAATAAACTTGTCGAAGATGATACTGATAGTTGCTTGCACACCATTCTTGTGTACTTCCATGTTTCCCCTAAGCAATGAGTGACTGAACGTCATGCCTCAATGGCGCTCAGCTGGCTGTCAGCGATGCTGTCATACGGGAGGTCAGGCGATCGTCCATCGCATTGCAAATGAGATCGTCATCCTTTTCATCAACTCAATTCTGATTCTTTTCTTCATTCTCTCTCACAAATACATGGGAGACTGATAGGTAATGACAAGCATTCGTAGCTTTCAAGCATAAGGTTTTGCTGAGTGATTGAACTTCTGCTAGTATACAAACTGTACTAGGCTCGATCACATCCTTGCACAGACGATAGAGTTCACCAAGACTTTATTCAGTGCTCTCAGACACCTCAGTGTTGACAACACCAAGTTGTGTGACCCAGTCAACACTCAAAGAGAGACTTAATGTATAATTATACACTCCTGAGCAGAATCTGGATACCCATACTCGAAGCGGCAGACTCGGACTTCACGGTGACCGTCAGCGTTGACCGTACTACGGTACGTCGCAGCCTTTACTCTACCTTACGGCCTGTGCGGCAGAGTCAGAGTCAAGCCTCCTCGACTCTCCTAATTGTCTTCGTACTGATTTGTAACTTCACTTACTTGCAGTTCAGAGGATGGTGCCCGGACTGACGGACAGCCGCGTGACTCGGATGATTCTGATTCACTCGACAACATGAGTAGTGCGTCGAGGGCGAGTAAAAGTATGATATTCGTGATGGACCAAAAGGTTTTAATTGAAACCAAACCATTCCTTCCTCGTGACCGGCGATCGTCACTGGCCGTGATTGAGAGAAAGAGTCAAATTCCCCTCAGAGACATTCCCGTATCCATCATGAAGGCAGCATCTTCATGCTTACCCGTAACTCTCGCTGCCTCTCAATTAGTCTTATCGTTTTAGGAGGTGGGGGCCGGGATCACGAGGCAACGTTTCTTGTGGCAAAGTCATACTGTACAAGTCATACTGTTCCCGGTACACCCCAATCCTCCTCGCCTGCAGTCCCGGTGTGCCGTCGCTCCCGTCCTGCCCGTCTGACCCCCCCCCCCCCTGCTGCTCACTCGATATCTCTGCCTCCTTGACAGCTCTGAGCTGGTTGTTCCGCACGCCATGCTCGATGTGCCTCCTCTATCTCGGCCGCCCGTTTCCTCGGGAACCAACACCATCAGACTCCCCTCGCAACGATCAGTGTCTCCTCTTAGCCGCGCCAAGCAGCTCGCAGCCCTCAAGTCAAGCATCGCCATGATCAAGGAGCACAGGAAGATCACGGACGCATGGGGACTAGAGCAGGAGCTGTGAGGGCAGCCCTGGCGAGGAAGGGTCAGGAAGGTGGGGGTGCGGGAACACCCTGGCCTCAGGTATAGAATGCACGGATAGCTTGTAAGCAGGGATGTAGACTAATGACGATCTTGATGTTGATGTTGCTTTTATCCTGCGAGGAAGCAGGAGAGAGGAAGGGTGTGTAAGGGTGCAAGTAGGAGAAAGATCAATAAAACTTGTGTGCTCGTACAACCGCAGGGCTGTCGCTTATATTATTTCTCCTCTCATTGTCCCTCAGCTGACTGGACCGCGTTCGAGGGCTGGTGAGACGACTTGGCGGTTGACGAGTCGCCGTAGTGCTTCTCTCGGATGGCTGAGGAGGGAACGTGTCACAGCAAGACGAGAAGCCGATATAGTGAAGGAAGCAGCAACAGAGGAGGAAGAGACCAGTAGATCATTCCCGTGCGAGGAAGGCAGAGAAAGGCTCATCAAGGCTCACCTTCTAGCCAGCCGGGCGAGTCATCGTCAAGTTCCCATGTCATCCGGCATCTGCTCGTCACATAACAGTCAGTTCAAAGGCTTCGGGATGCAGCTGCGGACGCACTTGAAGCGATAAGCTCGCACGCTGCTCTCGTCCTCCACGCCCCCCGTCTCGTCTATGACCCCCACCTCATCCCTCTTTCTGCTGGCCCGAAATTTCTCGTGCTCCTTCGCCTGGACGGCAGGAAATTAAGAATGCAGCCAAGACCCTCCTTCTGACACCCCACCTGCTCTATCGCTTCCTGTTCCTCCTTGGAGCCTGGCTCGCACCACTGGCATCGCCTGCATCTTCGAATGGCTGTAGCAGCAGCACGCCAGAAACACCGAGGGCATTCAAAGGGCCTCCTGCGTCGGGTGGGGTGAGGAACGCGAGCTTGTCAAGGGCAGTACCTGTCTGACACTTCGCTCTTGTTTCCTTCTTCAGCTTTCTTCTTCAGCTCGACCTCTTCGCGACTGCCTCGGATTGGTCTTGGCTCGGCCTGTGCAATGGTACGCTTCGCTGAAACGACAGGTCAGTGAGGCGGTTGAGACATACAGCAACATCTACATTGTTCTTCCAACTTTTTCTTCAGAGTGCTTGCAAACTCCTTCGACGGAACTGATTTGTTCGTATTTTCAACGCGAGTCTGTTCCTTCACGGAGTTGTCGTGAGAGTTTTCTCTATCCTCGTCGTGATCTACACGTGGCCCCTGCTGTTCCTTTTTTTTCATAGTTTGGCTGTCGGGGATCTTTGAAATCGTTTCTTCGCTCTGGATTCGCTCTTCTTTTTGAGAGGGCTTCTTGTCCTCGACTGCAAACCTCACTCGGGCCTTCTCGTAACTGATCAACACCACCAGTCAATGCAAGCAACAGTCTGAAGGGATACATACGCTTTCTCTGTCCAACTCGACAGTGGGAGTGTCAAAGTCATGACCTTCTTCTTCTTGTCAAACACGGCATCCGCAGCATTGTCATCAATCTGCATGACCGTCACTGGGGAGTTTGACCACAACTCTCGAACCTTGTACGGGAGTTCACACAAGAATTCATACTTGTGCTCTACATCAAGTTGAACGCAATCGTTCGTGATGTTCACGTCTACTTCTGCTGCATTTTCTACTCTCGGCATCTCCACTTTGAGTATCAGACTCTGAATCTCGTCATCGATGTCACGCCCTTCGTGATAGGCCAGCTGCCGCCCCTGGGATGTTTGTACGTATAATCTCTTCTCCGGGACCTCTATCCCTTTCTTCGCATCACTGACCATCGCATCCACGTAGCTCGGAACTTTTCCTTCGTTGTAGAACTTCGAACCTTGGAAGATGTCCGAGTAGTTAGCGTTCTCTGCAGCTGCCCGTGCTGCCGAATAATTGTTGAGATTCATCGCAGCTGAACTCGAGTTGCTGCTCGAGCTTTCATCTGCACACGAGGATACACAAAGTCAGAGTGTCCTCAACATCTTAACAGTTGGACATGTACCTTTGTTCACCTCTTCTATGAGAGCATCTGCCCGCACGAATTGAATCACTGGAAACCTTCCCTTGTAGTTCCCCCGCACTTTGACTTCGTTCCATTTCTGGATGTCCAACCCTCCCCCTCCCTTCTCCATCACCCAGCCCATCCCAAGTCCCACAAGAAACTCTTTGAACTCCTTGGCGTGCAGGGCTTGCTCGATCACCTGGAAGTCGTTCATGCTCAGGTCATCCTCCAAGACTACTCTCCGCACCTCGTTGTTGAAGACGCAGTCGTACACAATGCATGGCTCCCCCGATTTATCCAAGTCATTGCCTGCGACTAATCTCAGCCCTCCTGCTCTTCTATCGTGCGGCTGAGCTCACGTGCTGGACCCAAACTCAGAGGGATTCGAATCCTCTCCACGGAGGGATCGTTTGGATCTGGTTCTCGGTTGAACGAGCGGACCTTAGGGGACCTGAGAGGGAGGTGAGCTGAGCAGCAGCAAGCAGCGATGATGAGAGCAGATGATAGGCATGAAAGGTGACCCGAAGGGGGAGAGGGGGGAAGGGCCTGAGAGAGCTTCTCACTTGCAGAAGTTGATGAAAACCTTTTCGTTGGTCTCCAGCGTCCTGGTCTTGATCACAAACCCCGCCTCCGGGGTGATCATGATCCCCTGCTGGCCTCCTCCTGCTCCTCCTGCTCCTCCTCCTTTCCCACCCTCCTTCTGCATCTCCTCCATCCGCTTCCCCAGCGCCTCAACCTCCTCCCTCCATCGTCCTGCCTCCATGTCGGTTGCCCTCGAATTTGACCTCATCCCCACTCATTTTCAAATCATCGCCCACATCCCCCCTGCACATACGATCAGGGCAAAGGGCGCCATGGGGCGCATGTCGCCGGTGCTGGGTATGCTGCTGCTGATAGCGTGCAGGGCGGACGGGATGGGCGAGGAGGACGGGAAGACAGTCGTCCTGCCTTCCTCGTCGCATTCGAACCACCAGAGGGAGCTTCTCAAGGATCACAGGACGCGGCTGCACCGGCGGATTGAAGGGAGGAGGGCGGTGGGGGTTGCCAAGTTTGAGGTTGGAGGCGAGCTTCGGAGGCAGGAGGATCGCAAGGGAGGCGTCCTCTCCTCGTTCGTATCCCATCCGTCTCAGATCCTTGATCAGCGGTGCTGGTATGGCAGGCCTGCTGCTTGTTGTGAACGGCTGCAGCGGAAACCACCTGTTATAGCGCGTCCCCCTGTGCTGCGACAGTCCATCTTGAAGAGATTCAAGTTGTGTGCTCGAAGAGGATCAGAGGGCATGAAAGACGGCGACCTGGATGTATTGAATGAATCTCACCCATAATTCCTCTAACCACGGGATTGCAGGATGTGTTAGAGGCGTTCGCTGTTGACATCGATGTGGGCAAAGGAGCACAGAATCAAGAAGGTGGCAGGAGTACCAGGCCCACGCGTGAGTTGATGAACAAGATTTCGTCGAAGACTTTCGATGTGGATGAGTTGAGTGAGGAAGAAATTGAAATGCTGGCAAGTGAAGAGGAGGAGAGACTGAACAGATTGATTGAGAATAAGGTGATTGATTTCCCCCTGTGTGCTCTTGCTCTTATGCTGTGTCTGATAGCCGCCCCCGATTCAAGAAACGAAGCAAGATTTCAAGAAGAATGTCAGGCGTTTTGAAGGGCAATCAGTCGTTGTTGATGACATGTCCATGGGTTCTGAGACCGATATCTTTGCGCAAGCCAACTCTGAAGAAATGGAGGCGATCTGGAATGCCATCCAATCAGCGGTTAAGCAGGAGGAGGAGGAGGAGGAGGAGGAACAAGGAATCGAAGAGGAGGAGCCATACGTAGTCGAAGATGTCGATGCTGATTTGAAATATTCCAGCGGGGATTTGGATGCGGGAGACTTTATGAAATTACTTGAAGACGACCTTGACCAGTTGCAAGATGTCGAAACAGACGTCATTGACGTGAGCAGTCAAACAATCAGCCCTTCGACGACAGATGGGCCTGAGAAGAAGATGGCAGAACAAGATGGTCCATTCCTTCGAGGGAATGAGAAGTTCTCGACCGACGTGAATCTGCGAAAATTTGACGAATCAATGGAAGAGGAGAACTTTGCGCAAGATTTCGATTTTGAATCGATGAAGGCTCTCGTGTCAGGCAAGCAGTCTCCTCCTGATGTAGAAGAATCAGATGCAGACGAGTCAGAGGAGCCTGATGGGACGACTGAATTCATAGACACCGGGGATATCCGAGACTCCTCCTTGGATCAAACCATCGTTCCCCGAGCCGACGGAGGGCCTCAGATCATCTCTGAGAACGAGTACGAGATAGAGATTCAGAACGCATTCTTCCGACGGAAGATTCAAAAGTGGAAGAACAAGACAATGGCGGACGAGATGAGCATGAAATACTGGGGTCGAAAAGCTCCGGACTTCGTTCCTGCTGACCCAATGTCTCTATATGACGGTGACATGTCCGCCGACGAGGCGATAGGAAATCTGACGGAGGCTAGAGACTTGGCCATGGCCGCCATGGAGCAGTACGCAAACGACAGTTTCCTTTTCACAAACTTCATACAAGGGATGTACAATCTTCCGCCCCTGATCGAGATTGAGATCACGGACATGGCGAAATATGAAAACCTGACTCAGGAAATGAAGAAAGCGATTGATAACATGGAGTTTGATCGCGCCTTAGAGATTGAGGAGCAGATGAACGGAATGAAATATCGAGAAGTCCCTGATTGGGATCAGGATAAGGAAGACATGAAATGGTTCGAAGAGGGCGTTCAGAGGAAGAAAGGATTGAAATGGGACACAGATGAAGATTTCGTGGAGATCGTGGACAGGGAGCTAGAGGACCTTCTTGAGAAGATGGACAAGTTGGGGGAGTACTTCAACCCTGAGACGTATCAGATTGAGCAGGCTCGCATACCATTCTCCGCAACCCCTGGTGCTCGCTTCGACCCCAAACTTGTGGGGAAGGGAATCGTCCTCTCCAACGACGGCAGGACAGCTACCCGCATGGAAGCAGGCAGGCCATCGTTCGCCCTCTTCTCTGCGGGCCAGGGGGGAGCGAAGGAGCCGGTGACAAGGTGGAGGATCAGGTGTGACAGGTCGATCAGCAACATCTTTGTCGGGGTTTTGAAGATCCCCTTCGCCCCTACTGAGGGGGTTGCTTCTCTGTTGGCTACCCCAGCATGGTTCATCAACTCGGTGGGACTAGCGTATAGAATGGGCCCCTCACAAAAGGAGGACGAGTACGAGGTCATCGACAAGGAGAACATGACGTTCCGCGATGAGAGCACGAGGGTGTGGGAGGAAGGGTTCAGGTTCAACCCTTCTTACAGGAAGGAAGGGTGCGAGATGATTGTCGATCCACTGACTGGAGATATCTCCTGGTTTGAGGCGGATGAAGTGACCAAGTTGGCGGAGGCCGGGGCCGGCGATGAAGGGATCGCTGACTGGGCGGAGCTGCAGGCCACCTGGCTGCTGACCACCTATGGTCGAGAGAAGGTGGAGGTGGATCTCTTCCGATGGCTGCAGATCGAGAAGAGGAGGATGAAGAACGAGACTTGGATCGACACATTTAATCGATCCGTTGACGACGGTGAGATGCCCTGCTGCTCTCTCCTTGAGCCATCCCTCCCTCCTCCACCAACATCACCTCCTTCTCGTTCTCCTCCTCTTTCCCTCTTCCTTCTTCTCGTTCTCGTTTCGCTCCTCCTCCTCCTCCTCCTCCTCCTCCTCCTCCTCCTCCTCCTCCTCTTTCCTTCTGTCTCCTTCGCTCTCCTCCTTTTCCTCATTATCTCTTTGCAGGATTTTGGGATGTCCTGGTCAAAGAGGTTCCTGAGCCGGATTATGAGGCACTTGGGTACAAGAACTACACAGCCGAAGAGGTGATCGAGGGGTACGCAGAGAGACTGCAGGTGATGCAGAGAAGAGAGCTGATCTATGTCAAGTCGAGTCTGCTGTTCGGCTTTGCTCTTGCTCGGTTGTAGGCCTTACCTTGACTGCCACTTGCTACAGGAAATGGCACTCGAGCACGCAAGAAGGCTAGGAATTCCTGAAGACTACTGCTACCCACAGGAACCCTGTCAAACTCTCATCCAAGAGAATGACTTTCGATGCAGAAAGAACTGTTCCGCCGTGAAATACTCGCAAACCTTGACATCCTCAAGTTCGGAGATCTCTGCCACATGGTCTTGCTCCTCCCCTCCTCCCATGCTTCCTACTCTCTTGATCCTGCCGCTCCCTCCCCCCCCATCCTCCCTCTGCCACACCTTGACCGAGGGTTTTACTCAGGAGCTGCTGACTGATGGAAAACCAGCTGAAGTAAGGATGGAGTTCAACAGGGCAGAGAGGTAGGAGGAAGAGGAGGAGGAGGAGGAGGAGGAGCATAAGACGACTAACGCTGGTCCACCTTCAGGACTCTTCACTTTCGAATAGACAACCGGCCTGACTCTTTCCTCTTCCGCAACGTGGATGCTGATGGTGAACCTGTCTTTGTTCTTCTGCATCTTTTATCTTCTCTGTTCCAATCCCTCACCATCTCTCCCAGCTGTTCCTTTCATCAACCTGTTCGCATGCGGTGACGGCGTCACTTTGCTCGAAGATTGATTTCGAGCCTCCGCTCAAATGCTTCAAATTCACCGTTACGATTCAAATGGATTTGATCAAATTTCGGACGGTCAAGGCGGCACAACCTCAAACTTTGGCTCCATTCGTCGAGGGGGTCCAAGAGGAGTGAAACCTGTGGACCTCGTTGCCGAGATACTGCAAAGGAGCGCAGGTCAGAAAAGGTAAACTCATAAACAGACTCGCCGACCTGACGGAGGGCAACACAACTCTCCATGGAGATGGCGGGGATACCTCTCTTGGCGCTGAGAGGGATGTCAATGTACTTGAAACAGCAAGGTTGTCACACCATAATCTCTGAAACTCTGAGTATGAGGACGACGAAGCCAGCAGCACGCAGGAGATGAATGGGACGCAGGCTCCTCGGATGATGGAGATTGCTGAATCAGAATGCGTCTGAGAAATTTCCTCCAGTCCCAACGGTAGCCACTGCACAACCCGTCATTGTAGTCAAATTCCCAGCACAAAGTCAACAGTTAGTCATTTTTACCTCTGGGGGCAGGATCACAGGCGTGTAGGATAATATCATATCGTTGTCAACGTTGACATGGAACTTGTTGATGCTCACGGACTTCCCTTCTTGCAGACACTTCTTCAACTTGCGGAGTGGTTGCGACCATTTCCGCCTGAAAGAGAAACGATCGTCACAATCAAGACAGTGATGTAACAAAAACAGTGAAAGTGAGTTCCAACAGAGCAAGTCAAGCACAAAATCGTCAAGGGATTTCTCAGCCTCACTGGAGGTCAACGAAGTAGCTCGAGCCCCTTGGTGCGTTGCTGGAAGAAGACTTCACCCTGGAGACAGAGCTGGGGACACGGGAGATCCTTGTTTCATGAGCTGAAACGTGAGGGCTGGAAGTGAACATGGGCGTGTCTTTGGCAGACTCGTTGAACTTTGAGAGGAGAGAGATTGGTTGGTGGGAGGCGTTCAGGCTGTCAGTCGTTGTCTTCATGCTCATCTTCTGCTCCTGCCGACATGTCACCTTCCAAACTTCCTCGTTGACATGCTGAACCAGCTCGGTGAAAGGAGAGCTGAGCAGCTGCGGCAAGTCCGCAGCGAACTCCTTGTAGAGGTCCGCAGCATGCAAGGGCATCGAGCCTGGAGCAGGCTGAGACATTGAAGCAGACATAGGGAATCGGCTGACCTGACATGCCATGGAGCGACTCGCCGTTCTCGGGGTAACAAGTGGGATCAGCTGCATAGACGCGCCAGTGGACGAAGACAGCGCGGACGACTGAAGAAAGTTGGCGGTTGAGGAGAAGTCTGATGGACTCCACCCAGGCCTGCCAACCAGAGATGGAGGAGCGAAGGAGGATGGAGAAGTGAGACTCTTGCCGGGACGTGACTATCTCCTCTGCTCGCACATGTCAGGTTCACACGGAGCAAGTGGACAAGAGACCGATGTGCTTCCTCCTCTTGAAGCCTCGGCACCAGAGCTTCCACCATGCCCTAAGCTTCACCTGGTCTCTGCTCTGAGAGGAGGAGGTGAGTAGAGACTCGATGAAGGAGGCTTGCCAGGTTCGCATCAACCAGATCTTGAAAGTGAGATGAACCTTGGAGAGCAGCAGTTTGTTGAAGAAGCAGGAGATGGTCTTGACAATGAAACTTCGACGTGCTCTCACAGAAAGCCATTCATGCAAGGAAGTTTGCACGAGGCTTTGATGTTGAAGTTGATGATGCTTCAGTCGCTTTGCCTCCTCCCGCCTTCGGCTCTGGTTCCCCATGACGTGTATCCTCATCTCAAACCAAACCTTCTGGTAGACTTGCACCTCTTGCCAGAACTTGATCTTGGCTTCGATCAAGTCCACGTGCGAGGACCGATGAGTCTCCCGCATCCAGGCATGGAGATGCGACTTGAGAATCGACTTGGTACAGGAGAAGATAGTCCTCAAAGTTCGCTTCCTCTGCTGATTGGAGCTGACCGTCTCCGCCCTCCACATGTCAAAGTTTGACCGCAGGGAGGAGTTGGAAAGCTTGCTCGAGAGCACGAGCTGGAACTTCTTCAACCTGCTTTTCACCAGCAGGAGAAACCTCCACCCCTCGTAGAATTGCCTCGTCTGTGACTTAGTCTTTCTCTGCGTCAGCTTGCAGATGATCCTCCTGCACTTGATGTTGTTGGCCGTCGAGATGTTCCAGGCATCAAACGCGCTCTTCACCGTGATATTCAGCCACTTCTTGAGGAAAACGATTGAGCGGGAGTGCAGGGAGTTAGAAACCTTCGCCTCCTGTACGTGCTCAACCCACATGTCGAACAACTTCGCCATGTTCCCCTTCACCCACTTGCGGACGATCTGCCTGACCTTCTCGAGTGACTGAGTCATCTGGTGGAATTGAGTCCAGGTGGAGAAGCAGAAGCTGAGGCTCATCCTGGAGAAGACCGTTGAGACCACCACGCTTCTTTTCAGGAGATCTTTCCTCATCCTCACGGCGTCTCGCCATAGAGGAAAGAAGTTGATGATGCCGGATGACAGCGCTTTCAATCTCGACTTCACTCCTCTCTGCAAGACTTTGAAGATCTTCCTCGAAAGACACAAGGCTACCCATCTCTTCAACACCTTCTGCTCTACCAGTTTGTCCTTCATTGTAGCAAATACCATCGCACTCCGCTTGGCCCGAACCTTGATTAGGAGACGAGCTTTCCATGAGGAGAAATTCTCCACCAACCCCTTTCGTGCCTTGCTGGTTGTGAATAATCTGACCCTCTTCTGCTTCACAAGAATCCATTTCCAACCAAAGAAACACTCTTCGAAGTTTCTTGTCAGGAGGTACCTGATTGTCTCCATGACTTTCTGCTCTCTCCTGTTCTTTCCTGTGGATCGCCTCGCATGATCTCTGATCTTTACAAAGCACGTCATCTGCCTTCTTTTCGCCGTCAGCTTCTCCCGCCTCACTAACATCCTCTCGATCGCCCAGTGATGGAAGGCAAACGACATGGCAGCGAGATTGGCGGATTTCCACATTTCCACAAAGCGAAGTTTGTAGAACTGAAGAAAGGTTTCGTGAGGAGAAGCGAATGTAGACAGTCAAGGATACGAACTTTGCTCAGGAGAGCCTCTCGGCCCCAGAAGTGGAAGAAGAGTCTGGATCTTCTCAACAACCTGCGATGTATCGATGCTTTGACCCTCTTCGAGATTGTTTTGATTCGGTGGATTTGATTCCTATCAAAGAGCCGTCAAACTGAGAGACCTGACGCACACAAGCACGTACCAGCAAATCCAGAAAGCTTCGAACCCCTTCTGCTTCATCATACGATCCAAAACTTTGATCTTGTACATGGAGACGTATCGTCTCTTCCTCCTTCTGAAATCTGCCTTCAACTTCCAACTGCACTAGATGCTCAGATATCCTAAACAAGACCGTGCAAGCTCACTCACCGCAAGAGATGAAACCTCAAGTTCATGACCTTCTGTCTTCGAAGCAGAGCTTTCTTCAACTTATGAACCTCAAACGATTTCCGGTGGCTAGCAGCTTCGACGCTGCTCAGGTTCTCGCTAAGTTCTTGAAGTGCCAGGTCGTTCTCAGCTCGAAGAGTTTGCAAGTTCCTCTCGAACCCGTCGCTTGCATCCTTGAGAGCGTGCTGCAACCGACTGATCTCCATGATTGACTCCATGTGGTTCCTGTTGCTGATCCGCTCGTTCTCCTGAACCTCCTTCACTTCTTGCCGGGCTGACTTGGCAGCGATCGACAGATTCCGCACTTGCTCCCTTAGCTCTTCACCCTCCTGCTGCAGTCGACTGATCTCCTCTATCGCCACGTCCCGTTCAAGCTCGAGGTCCTTCATCCTAGCGCCCAACCTCTCGATCTCCTTTTGCCGCACATTCGTCATGCCCTCTGCTGCCAGGTCCATCCTCCTCAATATTGACGAGAGCGGGTCCCCGTCTTCATCGTCTCCTCCTCCTCCTCCTCCTCCTCCTCCTCCTCCTCCTCCTCCTCCTCCTCCTCCTCCTCCTCCTCCTCCTCCTCCTCCTCCTCCCCCTCTTCCCCCTCGCCCTCCTCCCTCCCTCCCGTCGAACGGCTCTGGGATCCTCCAAATCGCCATTGCCGTCGCCGTTATTCCGCACTTGACGTTTTTTTTAAACAAAGAAAACAAAGTAAAAAAACAAAAAGTTCGAACTCTTCCCGTAAAAGTAAAAAAGAGCTTGACTTGCGGAGGTACGATGGCGGATAGGAACGCACGCTACGCTCGAGATCAACGGCATGAGGGAGAGCATCTGGGGCATGCGAGAGATTCTTGACCTGATACGCGTCCTACCTCGAACTCCCCTGCTCCTTCCTCCTCCTCCCTCCTCCCTCCTTCCTCCTCTTCCTCCTCTTCCTGTTTTGCGTCTCGTCAAATCTCAGTTCAAATTTTGACCTGCCGTGCTCGCAGAACAGGGAGAGCGGCCGATCGCATGCACGCGAGAGCGTCGCCTCGAGAGAGGCTGGTGAGCGAAGGGCTCGACCGAGTTGTCGACAGTCTGCATGACAGCGGGAGCTCATTGCGGAGGATGCGAGAAGTTCCGGGCCCGTCAAACTTCGTCAATTTGTTGAGATCTTACGTACAAGGACATTTGAATTGTGTTGTACTTGCTGAGATCTTGAACAGACAAATGGAACTCATCATAACGATGACGACGACGATGATGACGACGTCGATCGTGATGTTTCAGCAGCAAGGCATCGAATCGACTTCGACTCAGGTCCTGTTGCCGGATCATAATTCAACTTGCTGACCTTCGCTGCGTTTGGTCATACAGCTATCTTTCGCTCGAACGATCCTGTTCGAAAGGTAGTCGGGTGGGATGAAGAGCAGACGAGCTGACAAGTGACAGGAGGAGAACAAATCGATTGAATCTTCTTCTCAAAAAGCAAACGTCAATCCGGAAGGTGCTTTCAGTGCGGTAGACGACGACAGTTTTCACATCTACAACAAGGTGACTCGCCTCCCCTGTCTTGCTCCCAGGGCCTGAGGGACTTCCAGTACATGCAACATCATCGTAGCAATCGGTCGAAATTCTCCCCTCCCAGTCCGGTTGGCAGCGACATGTCTCGAACTCCCCAAAGAAAGTTCTCTCCTACCTCACAGGAAACTTCCCTGCACTCTCAACCAGCAAGACCAACCTCCTTCCTCGCCAGCTCTGACAGAGACACGGACTCGGCAGACGCCATGAGGAGCGCGGTGCCTGCTGGAGCTCGGGACCCTGATCCCGTCGTCTACTTCGGCGTCGGCATCAGGCTGGAGAGCAAGAGAGGAGGAGCAGGGCAGAGCAGGAAGATTGTGATTGCTGACATCGTCCCTGGGGGACCGGCATCGAGTGTGCAGGACAAGGCAAATGAATCTCATCCTCTGCCTGCTCCTCTTCCTCCTCTTGCTTGCGACGTCTCTAGACCCTTCCTCCTCCCACCTGCCTCTCCTCCTCCCTCTCTCCCTGCTCCTCCTTTGTTGAGATGGAGGTCCTTGGGCGGTTTCCCTTACTCAGTGCCAACCAGGTGACGGGCAGGAAGGCTCTGAATGTAGGGGACGAGATCCTAGAAGTCGACGGGCACAAGGCAAGTCCATGAGCGGATCGAGAAGTTTGTGAGTCACGAGGGCAGGCGGATGGGAGGAGCAAGGAGGAGATTCAAGCGCTGCTGGCCGGAGGGAGGGAGGAGACTGCCAGGCTCTTCGTGCGGAGGAGAGAGGACGGGAGGGTTCGGGAGGTGACGATCAGGAGAGGGCTCACGAGTCTGAAAAAGGAGAGGAGCCCCTCCAGGGACGCCACGCTCGAGCTCAACGACCTCGTTGACTCCGATCGATCCGTCACAGGAAGAGGAGCGAAGAATAAGGAGGAGGCGAGCGAGAGCTGGAGGGGAGCAGGAGCGGCTGACGGAGGAGGAGGAGGAGGAGGACTCTCCTCCGTGGTGATGGAGGACTCGGAGATGGAGTCGCGATGGCGGAGGCTGCAGGAGAGCAGGTCGAAGCTCGAGGAGGAGATGCGCTCGAACCAACGGGATCGCCCTGCACACCTAGAGGCCAGCAGCAGCCTCTTCCATCTCCCGGATCGGCGATCTCCCGAGGAGAGGACAAGCAGGTCGTTAGCTGGAGAAGAACTGGCCTCGCCGAGGAGGATCGCAGCCCCTTGGGAGCAAGGTATACTTGCTCTCATGGCCCGTGTCTCCATAACCTGCCCAGCAGGCCAACAGCTGGCCAACAGGGCTGAGCCTCCGAGCAGGCGCTTCCTCGACTTCTTCGATGCCAAGAAGTCGCAAGGAGAAGCAGAGGACTCTAGAGACCTCTCCTCGCCCAGCAGGAGACTAGCAGAAGAGGACAGGCAGACTGTGCGTATAAAGGTTGAGCTTCCAATATCTCCCTCCTCCTCTTCCTCCTCCTCTCGTCTTTCTCAGCTCCTTCTCACACACTTCCCCTGCCCTGCTCTGCTCTGATCTGACGCCAGGAGGACCTGTCCACGGCGAACTTGTCTCCGATCGCCGCCAAGGGAGAGGACGAGAGGCATTTTTCCCTCTTTCCCTCCTCTCGTGCTCATTTCTCCGCTCAGGTCAAGCGCATCCCTCCTGACCTCCCAAGATGAATTCCCCTGGTCGTCGCCACTGCGAGAGCTGAAGATGACGAGCAAGGCAGTACCTGATCACGGCATGTACTCTCCTCGGAGGAGGGAGGAGGAGACAGGGAGGAGGAGGAGAGAGGAGGAGAAGATTGAGAACGAGGAGGAGGAGAAGTCCATTGCAGACTTGAGGATGAAGAACTTCGACCTCTTCTCTCGGTCAGCAGCTACCCCAGCAAAGCTCAGCAGCCCGAGACAGGAAGCTGCGAGGGAGCAGAGGGGAGGGAGGCGAGAGGAGAGGAGGGAGAGCGAGAGGAGGAGGAGGCAGAGTTCCTCCACCCTCCTCCTCACCCTGGATCGAGACTTCGATCGCACTTGCTCCACCGCAAGCAGCATGCAGTCCTTCAAGGACGCACTCGTGCGGGACTGCGCGGAGTCTTTGCAGGTGGCACAGCGGCAGGTGGAGGTGATCAGCGTGGAACGAGGGTCCATCCTAGTCAAGCTCCTCCTCCTCTCCGACCTGCTGGGGGATGAGCTGGAAGGTTCGCTCACAAACGGCAGGAAGAGGACGAGCGAGGAGCTGGCGAGGGAGCTGAGAAACTGCGTGTCAAACCCGATGAGCATCCTCTGCCAACGGCACGGGGCCGTCCGAGCCCAGCTGCTCCCAGAGCTGCAGGGAGCTGGTGACAGGAGGAGGACGGGGAACTGGGAGGCGACTGGACGTGGGGAGAGCCAGAGAGGAGGAGAGGGGGAGAGCAGGAGGGAGCAGTTGTTCCTCCCATCAACCTTGAAGTCTCCCCGGCAGGGGAAGGTGGAGGAGCCGACGGAGGAGACGTTTCCTCTGTGGATGAGAGACCTGATGCGATCGAACGATGAGCAGAACAGGCCACTGCGGAACGCTTCCTCCTCCTCCTTGCTCTCCTCCTCCAGGCCTCGCGGCCCACCCAGCATGTCGGTGAGGGAGCTGCGGAAGGTAACTGCCAGCTTCCTGTGCTGCTGCTCCTGCTCCTGACCTCCTGCTATCGTGCAGCACATGATTGTCAGACCTGTCGCCGTCGCAAGGGTCACCGTCCACCGAGCAAGGGACCTTGTGGCATCCAACAGATGGAGCAGCTGCTACTGCCTCCTCTCCCTCCGGCATCAAGAGAGCTTCACTGGACTGCAGGACAATACCTCTTCTCCCCAGTGGAACTTCTCCTCCTCCCTTCCCGTCTACGACCTCTCGGACAAGATCCGAATCTCCGTGATACAGCAGCGGGTATCCTCCTCCTCCTCCCCGTCCTCCTCCTCCCCCTTCTCCTCCTCCTGTCAAGAGATCGGGCACATTGCCCTTCCTATCAGGATGGCAGAGAGCTTGGTGGAGTTGCGCTCCTCCTGGTACGTCTTGCAAGATGAGCAAGAGGCTCCGGTCAGCAGCAACGGAGCAGCCAGCGCGCTCTGTGTATCGCTGCATGTCAGCCTGATCCAGCCGGAGCAGGAGGACGTCAGCAGGTGGTGGAAGGAGGGATGGGCGGAGGTGAGGAGGGAGGAGGGCGCATGGCAGAGAGTCCGCTGCTTCCTCGACCCGTGGGGCCCTCGACTGGTCTGCTTCTCCTCCCCCTCGGACCTTGACCCTCCCGCCCTCGTCGTCGACCTTCGCAAGTTCCACGTTGACTCTTCCTCCGTCTCCTCGAAGTTTGAGAAGCTGGACCTGTCGGGGGCAAGAGGCACGAGCTCCTTCCCTTTCGTCCTTGCGATCTGCGGGGAGGAGAGGGGAGGAGGCCGGGGGCTTCCGGCCGCTGAAGCGAGCAGAGGATACGTCCTGCTCGACGGGTTGGTCTTCCTTGGGGTAATGTGTCGGAGAGGAGGAGGAGGATGCAACGTGACGTCGGCGCAGGTGGAGAGGAGAGAAGATTTTGAGCAGTGGACTCGATGCCTGTCGGCCACAGCCAGTTTCCACGTCCTCAACAGCTGGAGGGAGGAGGACGCTGCACCCTCCTCCTCCTCCTCCGCCATGGAGTTCGGCGGTACCCGAGTCTTCGACGAGCGCTTCCACGTCCTCGATGTTGCTGCTCCTGGTCCTGCAACAGCTGAGCAGCTCCAGGCTGAGACCGACAAGTCTGGACGAGAAGCAGGAAGAGGAGAAGAGGAAGGAGCAGGAGCACAAGTCCTCGAGTCGGCTCCGCAGTCGCCGACAGACTCGACTAAGGACTTTCCCTCTCCTCCCCCTCCTCCTCCTCCTCTTCATCATCTCTCTCGGCGACCATGGCAGCCCTCAAAGACAGTCTGCGCTATGGGTTTCACTATCTTCGTTCTCCTCCTCATCCTCATCATTATACTCAGTCTCTATGTCTGAGCAATTTAGTATGAGCGGGACTCATGGATTTTGATTTGTTTATAACTTAGTCACGAGTCGCTATCCGTCTCCTGGCAGTGCCCTTATCGACGTCAGTCACTGAGTCGCAACTACCGGGCTCTAGACACTGCGATCCCCGCGGCTCCGGCCGAGCGGCCAAGAACGGGCCGGGCCCGGGGCTGGCCGCCGATAGGTTCCGACCTGCGGCCGGCCTGCCCTCAGAGTGGCCGCCCCTGCCGTAACGGAAGAGCGGCGATATATGAAAAGAAAGAACTTGAAATGGATCAGTCGGAGTTGTGAAAGATTGACCTTCTTTGCTTCAGTTACGGTCATCTCAGTTTACATTAATGAATGATATTCGTGGATTTGTCTACAGAGGTCCGTGATTTGGGCCGTGAAAGATCCCTCGTCATCGATAACACTGACATGAACATGGCCGCGGAGTCCTAAGAATCAGACGAAGAGATCAGCCGTGTTCGTAGATCCCTCAGAACCCTGTGCAATCTCTCACGGTGCAACGTTGCCTCCAACTCGCTCAGAGTTTCTTGCCTTATGTCCATCTGAAACAAATGGCTCTGGCACGCCGAGGACAACTTGGCTCTCCCTGCAGCACTCAAGCGTGTTCCCCTCCCAATCTCAGTCTCATTTCTTTCAGCCAGATCCCGGTGCCACATGGAGATGATATCCCTCCGAGGAGTCGTCAACAATGTTTTCTTGTAGTTGCCAAACTGTCTTGAAGTTGCAGTCCCTGTTAATTCCATCTTTCTGCGGTGGGCAAGCAAATCCATCTGTCGATAGTAGATAGAGTTCTCGATCTCATGGCGAGCTTGATCGACTTTCTCCATCACTTGTTCGGCAGCTCCACATGTCTGCATTTCCTTGCAGACAGGACAAGTGTCAAACTGTCTTCGATTCGAGGCTCTCAACTCTGATTTCGCTTTCTTGACAATCTTTCCTGATCTGCGCCAAAGCTGAGTGTAGCTATCTACACCGATGGCGCGGAGTCCTCTTTGGGTGATGAAGCCATTCTTGTCCACCTCGCTCGATTCTACGGCACTTCCATCTGGCATGCGCAGTTTGAACGCGAGGCATCGCAGAGCACGAAGTTCCGATTGCCCTGCCAGTGCAGCAAAGTCGTCTCGAGCTCGCGGAACCCTCCAGTTCTTGTCTGGATCATCCTGCTCCTGCTCCTCCTCCTCGGCTGACCAGCTCTCTTCTGATACAGAAGAATCCAAAGGCATCCGAAAGTCTTCTTCATTTTCTTCTGGTTCAACAACATCTACCATCCTTCCATCGCGCCATGCGTTGCACCGATTCTTCCTTTCTGTTCCTTTGCCATACAAATGCAACATGCAGGGCTGGAAATTTCTCAGATCCTGTGCCATCTCATTGCAAACTGTCATGAAAGCTAACCAATAGTTGCCATGATCTTCACTCAGCAATTCATAGAATCTTAAAGAAAACTTTCGACTGACACTCTGCCTTACGATACCATGCCAACAAACCACTACTTTCACTCCAACTGAACGCAGAGCGTAACCAGTGGACAGGGTAGAGCACGCGTTCAGGAAGATACATTCGATCTTTTGCAGAACACTAGCTCGTGCATGAAGTTGGATCAGATTCGACAGATGTTGTGCTGTGACCTGGTTCTCTTGCTGCTTTCGTCCTGTTTCGGAATACCAATACAACCCTCCTGACGAGTCACTACCATGACCTGAAAAATGGCAGCGCCTACAGGACCTTGCGCAGCAGGTTTCTACTGTACAAGCGGAGCAGCAGATCCCAACGCCAGCATGTGCGACCCCCACAAACTTGTGCTTCTTGAAGAAAGCAGCGCGGAAGAGATCTTTGAACTCCTGGCATTCCCTCTCCGGATCAATGTCTGTTCCACAGCGACAGGAAAAGAAGACAACTCTAAAGCAAGTAAGATTCTCTTTCAAGCTGACGGGTCTCGTTAAAGTGGAGATCAGCTCACAAGGAACAACATTCGGACATTCGCAGATCATCTTCAAAACTCGAAGCATATCACTTGCATCGTGAAACCTTCCATTTCGGTCTTTGCTGAGCGCCTTGACGAGAACTTTCGCAAGAGCATGCCTACCCAAGGTATATTTCTCTTTTCGCTTGTCCTTGCACAGTAGTTGTGGTAGTTCTCGGATCTTGATGCATTCGATCAGTTTCAGACTATTCTCTGCTTCGAATGGTCTCTTCCCGCTCACCATCTCGTACAGAACGATCCCGCAAGACCACACGTCTGATCGCTGATCAACTTCGTTCTCTCCCCCTCCCATCGCAATCTCTGGCGACGCGTAGGCCAAAGTTCCTTTCAAAAAGTCGCCGCTGGTAATCGATTGATCATCCAATCCATACCTCTTGGAGACACCGAGGTCCACAACGACAGCACTTCCGTCAATGTCTCTTATCATGATGTTTGCAGGCTTGATGTCTCGATGAACGATGGGGTAGGGTTTGATGGCATGGAGTACAGACAAGCCTGCAAGTACATCACACATGACGTGGCAAGCTTTCAGGTTGTCGCCTATCAGGTCTGAAGTGGATTCTTGTCCGTTGGCTATTTCTCTATCCAACTTTTGCCGCAGAGACTCTCCCTCGACATAGTCCATGACCAATCCAAGGAATCTTTGTCGTTTGATATCCTCAAACTCTTGCAAGACATCTACAACATGCACCACGTTGGGATGATCACCAGCTATTTGACTAAGGTTGTCATACTCCCTCTTCGAATTCAGTCCCGCTTTGACGATTTTGATTACCACCAAACTCTTGTTGAACTGCTCTGCAAGCCATATACTGCCCTGCATTCCCTTTCCCAACCTCTTCCGGATCAGATATCCAGGTATCTGTGGTACCGGATCAGAAACAGCCTCCAAATCATGCGGGGCTTGACTGGTGTCTTGTTGGCTATGATTGCTTTCCTCGCCAATGTCAGCCTGATAGGTGAAAGGATTCGAGGGAACAGGTAGTTGAGGCTTTTGAAGATTCGAGAATCTCACAGCAGGAAGATCGCATCTTCGCAGAGTTCTCCTTGTAGGCAAGAGATCTCTGCTCTCCACTGTCTTGCCGTCGCTCAGGGTGACACGTCGGACCCTCTGTACATCTTGCAACAACTTTCTGTCGCTCAAGTCTTCTCCGCATGGAATCATTGCCACAAGGTGCAAACCAGGTTGTCTCCTTTCTGCTGCCTCAATAGATTGGTTGACGTAGCGAAAGAGCGGCCATTCTGTGGCTGCCATAGAACAAGCGTCAACCAAGTCTACCCAGCTTACCACCGTCATGATCGATTCCATAGCTGAGCCGCTCGAAGACTGCAACTTAGCCATCCGGACTACAAGAGTCTCGTCCACGAATTCAGATTCCTCACATCGCAGAACCATTCCCTCTGCTGATTGTCCAAGAACTTCAACAGAGATGTGCTCATTGTTGTGATCCAGGTGCCCGATAGTCGACCATTCAACTTGAAGTTCGCTGAGGAAGAAACTCTCGAAATGGGAGCACTGATATTCTCTCCTTACGATAGCACGACAGTCCGAGCTCATCTGTGGAGACCAAGGGGAGGGTAAGGTATACCTTCCATCAAGAGATCCCTTTGGAAACATAGCGGGAACAACATAACTACAATGCCCCTGCCTAGCACAAACTTGACAAAACTTCTCATCAGGGAGGTGTGTTTGATACTGGTGCATAAGCTTGAATCCTTGCAGGAGGTAAATGAGAACATCCTTGTCGTCCTCCGATACATTTTCCCAGAGCCAACATCGAAGAAGCCTGTCGCAGAGTCTGCCACCATTTCGCAGCGACTCCAACTGTCTTTTCCCCTGCATATCCATCCTGCCATGAAGATTTCGAAGCTCATCGTTGAGATTGCGGTCGTCTCGCTCGTGGACTACAAACTTGATAGCATCAATAATCCACTGCGGCCTTGTAAACACATATCCTCGCAATCTCTCATGCACGGAGTCATTGCCATAATACAGCACAGCTCCTATGTTGTGCAGGTAGTCTAAAGCACGAAAAACCTCCTCTCGTTCCATATTGCATTCAACAGCGGCAGCGACAAGATCTTCTGCTTGAACGTAAGGCCGAGCACACAACTCTAAGAGTTCATGCGAACTGTTTTGTTCAGTGTAAGCTTGCACAACTTGTTCCCATTCTCTCTCTATCAATCCTTCACCTTGTCCTTTAAGTGTATCAGGATGATCTCTGATATCTTCACGCTGTGCTGTTTCAAGTTCTTGTTTTTCCTCAAACACTGATTTGCAATCTTGCGCCAGCATTTCAATTGTTGCCTTTATATGATCAAGCTGTGAAACATTCTCGTCTTGGTTTAGTGTTGAAAATTGATATGGACTTTGGGTCTCATCATGCAATCTTGGAAGCGAAGGCATCGAAAGATTGACTTCTCCATCATTGTTTGATAGCTCAGGATCCAACATCAGATCGCCGAAAGTCTCTTCATTCTTCGCTTGCTCTGCACTTGAAACAGCACACTCAACTAATCCCGAGCAAACTTGACACAAATCCCATCCGCACTCTCGACATCCAATCATCTCCTGACCTCTCTCTATGAGAGCGGAGCAGCGATCGCAGATATAGACACCAGGAGTTCTAAAGTGAGAAAGAACGTGGCCGCTGGGGCAAAGTCTGTTGCTCCACACATGCGATGCAGTTCGTCCACAACATCCCATACAGAGGTCCCAGGAGCAGATTGTACAGCTCATCATCTGTTCCCCACTTATGATGCATTGTGAACATTGATCGCACATGTAGGTGGCTCCAATGCCTGGAGTGAGAGGTGATAGGCGATGACCGCGAGGACAAACTTTCTCGGGGATATCTAACTGCCGCGAGCGTGCTCGTGAAGTTGCAACATGTTGACCCCCGAGCCTGAAACACGACTCCAGCATGAGATAGCTGAGAGGGGTTGTGTTTCTTGTTAGCGGGAAACTCTTTTGATCTTGTATCAGGCATTCTAACGTGTCTCGGAGGACTTCAACTCCCATAGCCGAAGGATCCAAACTTACAGCAGCGAATAGAAAGATTCGGGGCCTCTTGGAGATTAGTTCACGCAGTCTGAGTGTGAAGAGATTCTCTCTTTCATCTCGTGCAGAGGCATGATTGAAGTACGAAGCGGTTTGTACCTTCGGGTTGCTTGATTTTTCTATCTCATGCATCTTGAAATGAAGATCGACCAGGTGCTGTTGATGACTGATATCACAAGCTTGTTTTGCTCGCGAAAGAAGATTGTGAAAGCATTCATCCTCTTTCACTTTCAAAGGCACTTGAAGATCAAGCCTCAAATTCTTCAAGCTTGATTGAAGTACATGATCTCGTTCTCTCTTCAATGCATACCATTCTTCGGGTAGGTCAAAGAGGTGAGCAAGCTTGGCCTCTGCTTCTCTTAGCTCTTCATGCAACTCTTTGACATTGTTTTCTTCCCAACAGACAATGCTCTCTTGGACTTGAAGCAATCTTCTCGATGCACAGTTAGATGTAGATTCAGGGGTTGACTCTCCATGATCATCATCAACGTTTGCTTCAGCTTCGAGCAAGTCGGCGTGCGTTCCCACGATGCTCACTGCTGCTCCTGGGACTTGTGATTGCACTGCTTCCACCCATTTGAATGCTTGCACATGGCAGTCCTGCTGAGATAAGTCTATCACGCAGACATAAAGAGCTCCAGGAGACATAAAGAACCGATGGGTTGCGAGATAAACGTCATGTCCACCTGCATCGTACGAATTGATCACTAGACGGCTGTTCTGATTCAGTTTGTGTGATTTCACGACAACTGATACCGTCCTGTCATCGTCAGCTCGCATGCGAGGTCTGCCAGTCTCGAGCGTATCCAACAAGCTACTCTTTCCCGCTTTGGGTTCCCCGACCAACATCATTTTGAGCATATGACTCTCGACGTGTCCTTTGTTCAGATCTCTGAGATATTTCAGGCAGAAGGGGGCTCCTCGCTTGCACACATGTGGAGGGGGTGTGTGGAGATTGAGACATCCTGTAGTGTTGAGAATCCGTAGAGAAGTGCATCGTGCGAGTGAATAGGATATTGTTTCCAACTCCTTGTTGTTGTTGAAGTAAACCATCTGGAGAGCAATCAAATCTCCAATCCATTCTGGACAACTCCTTAATCCTATATTTTGAAGATCCAACACTGTCAGGTTGGACAATGCTTGCAGAAAGTTGGAGTTCTCAAGACTCCTTCCTAGGTTCTCATTTTGTCCAAGTCCAAGTGATCTTAAGTTTGAAAGCGCACGTAAACATTGAGGACAGCTCACTTGACCGGTTCCTGTGAGATCCAAAGTTTCCAGACCACAAAGCTTGAGCATGACATCATCATCAAGGCTCAGCTCTTGATTCCATCCCAGTATGAGCACTTGCAGCTGAGTCAGCTCTCTTAACCAGCTGGGACAGGTTTTGAGCCCAACACTCGACAGATCGAGGGAAGACAAGAGTTGCAGATGTCCTAATTGAACATCATGCAGACTACGACCAAGATGGATGTTTTCACTGAGAATCAGATGATGCAGCCCCTTCAGATCTCCAATCCAGTCCGGACATTGACTGAGGCGTATGCTTGAAAGATTTATCATCCTCAGATTCGTCAGGCATCCAAGATTCCAAATTTCCAAGTTTTCGCCAAGACTGATATTGCCGCTCAGATTGATTTCTTGAAGCTGAGTCATCTGTCTAATCCATGGAAGACACCCAACTAACGAAAGATCTCTCAAATCCAGGGATGTCAGATTTGTTAGGTATGAAATACTTGTCATGTTTGCTGGATCATCAATGCTCCCCCCAAGTTTTCGATTCCCACCGACATTGAGTTCCGTCAAGGAATTCAAATCTCCCAACCAATTTGGACACTTGCTTAGACCGATACAAGACAAGTCCAACTTAACCATCTTCTTCAAACCTGCCAAATCTACTTTGTGGATCTGCTCAGTGAGGGACCTGTTTCTCTTGACCACAAGATTTTCTAACTTTGCCATATGACTTATACAAGATAAACTCTTTAGATCAATCCCAGTCAAATCCAGAGTTCGCAACTGGCTCAATCCATGTAGCGTTGTTTCGTCGAAAGCATCACCAAGCTCCCAGTTACCACCGACTATGAGATGATGAAGATTTAATTGGGTCAAGAATTGTGGGCATTCAGTCAGGCCGGTCGACTCCATATTCAGATAAGTCAGATTCGTCATTTGAGACCAGCCGGCATCAAGTAGATGATTTCCAAGCTCCTCATTGTGTCCAACGTCCAATGAGCTCAGTTTCCTGAGGCTGGTGAGCCAATCTGGCAAACAATGCATGCCAGTCTTGGAGAGATTCAACAAAGTGAGGTTGCTCAAACCTCTCATGGAGGAAGGGAACACTCCAACGAGCTCTTGATTGTTCGCGAGGGAAAGATGTTTCAATCTGTGAAGCAGCCCCAGCCATGCGGGGAGAAGGGAGAGGGCATTCCCCTCGAGATCGAGTCTAACAAGGTTTTTCAGCAGCTTCAAAGCGTCAGGAAGTGACGCCAGGACGTTGTAGCTAAGATTTAAAGCAAAGATTCGGAGTGGGTCTTTTGCAGACAATGCTTCAGAAGTTCCCACTAGCCTGAGGTTTCGCTCCCGTAGATCAACAGTGGTATCTTCGTGTATGTGCACACGACTCACATGCCCTCGCCAAAGAGCTTGCAGGCGCACTACACCAGCAATGGACCTGCTGAACATCCTACGAGCCCTGCATCCTAGCCATCGTGCTCGGATATTTGTTGCGCATCGATGCCTCTTCTTTTCTATATGGATTGCATTCCATTGACGCCAAAGCACAGTCAATGCACTCCCTGCAGCAATAGTACCTACAAGAACTTGAAGAGCTCTTCTCAAATATCTTCTCCTCTTCTCGTCCATTTGTGGACCAATTGCAATGAAAACTCTAAGTCACTTCACATTCACCCTAAATGGAGCCTAGAGAGCAAGAGTGCAATTCAGACAGGGGCAAGAAACACAAAGTTTACCGTAGCATGGCCCACCTGGTTCTCAACAGCAAGCACTTCTCCAAAACAACCATCATCCGCTCGCTCTTCCCGTCTCATCGCATCCGAGTCCATTTCGGAGTCGCAACGTGAATTTGAGCTGGGAGTGGACTTGGATCCGGTCCTTTTCTCCGTGAAAATCGCGAAAATGTGGGGGTAGGGTCATGAACCGTACCCGGAGCGCAAGGTTCTTCCGTCCGGCACTCTTCAGTACGGTCACTAATAACTCTCAGTCAGCGGGTCCCGGCCGGCCCTCACGGTGTCCGATGGCTGCCGCAGTGGCAGGGCTTTTCGCCGGTTCTCGAAGGTGTGAATGTACCGTACTGTTTCAAGACAAGCTTGTTAGTCAGTAGACCGATTTGATCATCTTGAAAGCCTCACTGCGTAAGGCACAGTCAGGGCGTGGCCGCGGGAAGGATAGTGTGCGAAGTGCGGCCCTACCTGCCCTGGGCCCTGCCCTGGGCCGGCAGTGTCACGGGCCGGCCGGGCACTGTGGCAGGTCAGCCGGCCGCTGAGGTGGACCCCTGGGTGGACCCGGGCTGTGAGAAAGAGGGGATGAGGGGGCACGGGATGAGGCCGGAGCAGGGGACAAGAGCCCATGAGAGATGGCGAAGGCAAGGGAGAGGCGAAGCAGGGAAGGCATGGAGAGAGGAAGGGGGAGAGCGCAGGAGAGCAGAGCAGAGCAGAGCCACGAGACAAGAAGGAGAAGCAGAGCAGGAGAGAGGGTGCGATGTTGAGATCTGACCCTTTACAAGGCCTCTCGATGAAGTGACCCGGAACATGGAAGACTCACCCCCTTCGCAGCAGCAGCGAGGTAGGAGGGAGGGATCAGAGCAGCGAGACTCGTTCTGATGCCCTCAGTAGATGCTATCCCTGTTGAGTCGTTCGAGAGGGAGAAACTGAGCTCCGTCGCCAACGTCGTCGGCCTTCAGATCAAGTAGAAGGGTGGTCCCGCTCAGTTCTGCCTCCTCACCGACCCTTGCAGGCCACAAGACATCTCCTCTGCTCTCAAGGTCCTCAAGAACTTCTTGCTCAATCAAGCCCGGCAGCCCAACGTTGTCGATGCAACAAGTCGCATGCCCAGCCACCTCTTGCCGGCTGTGACTGTCAGCATTGGCAGATGGCGAGGCCAACCGGAGTAAGATCCTCCTCCTCAGCCCTGAGCACGTCAAGAGCTCGGTCCTCGAAGAGCTGCCAGACGCCTGCAGGGGATTCGTGAAAGAGAAGGATGGTGATGGAGAGGAGGCGCGGACACCTGGTGGGCATTGAGGAGACTTACAGGCAAGCTAGTCCACTACACCCTCCAACACTCCTACTCCCACTTCACCTACGATGAGGTCAGGATCAGAGCGTCTTCTGCTCAACCTCTCTGTCCTCAACTCTGAGCAGGCGCTGAAGAAGCTGCTTCCTCAAGACGTGGAAGTTCCCTCCTCCTTCGAGACCATAGGGCATGTCGCTCACCTGAACCTCCGGGAGAACCAGGAGGCGTATCGCCTGATCATTGCGCAAGTGAGCCCGTGACTATGGAGGAGGAGGAGGAGGAGGAGGAGGAGGAGGAGGAGGAGGAGTTGCTGTTGTGTATGGAATGACAATGGTGTATGATCACAGGTTATGGTCGACAAGTACTCAGCGATCAAGACGGTTGTCAACAAGTTAGGTCAGGATAAGAAGATACTCCTGCTGCGCTCTTACATTCCCTTGCAGGAAACATCACCAACGAGTTTCGAGTCTTTCAGATGGAGGTATTTCGTTCTCCTGCGCGGGAGCTATCCTCAAGGGGAGCTCGGGGAGCAGGTACTTGCAGACAAGATCACCAACCAGAGTGTTCCAAGACTCGTCAAGGAGGGCGACGCAGCGTTGGTAGGAGATGTCTCTTGTGGTCAAACTTGTGATCGAGACCCCAAGGAGACTTGTGTGAAGCAGAGTGGTTGTATCTTCAAGATGAACTTCGGGGAGGTACGCGCACGCCTGGCGAGAGAGAGAGAGGAGTGAGAGGAGCTGCAGGTGTACTGGAACTCGCGGCTGGATGGTGAGCACAAGCGGCTCGTAGCCTCCTTCTCTTCGGACGATGAGGTTGAATGACCGTAAATGACGGAGGGGAGGGGAAGGGAAGGGATTGCAGAGGATAGACGAGAAGCGTTAGGAAAGGAGAGAGGACGAGGACAAGGACGAGGTCGAGGTCGAAGGAGGCTGATTGATGATCAGGTTTGGGACATGTTTGCAGGAATCGGCCCCTTTTCCGTTCCAGGTTTCTCTGCTCCTCCTCCTCTCCTCTCTAACTTTCAACTCGCAGCCGCCAAGCACCACAGCTGCCAAGTGTATGCAAACGATCTGAACCCAAGGTCAAAGTTCTACCTTGAGGAGAACTGCAGGTCATTGAAGCACCTCCCCTCCTCTCCCCTTCCCTTCCCTTCTCTTTCCTTTCCTTGCCTCCCCTCCCCTCACTCCCCTCACTCCCCCCCCTCTCACCTCCCTTTCTCCTCCTCACTTCTCGCAGGCTGAACAAAGTCGACGCGCTGGTCCACACCTCCTGCATGTGCGCCAGGGCCTTTCTGGCCTCCCGGGTCTCTCAGTGCTCAGAGAAGGTGGAGGAGCTCTAGCAGGGCCCGCGCTGACCGGCCTCAGCAGGCGCCGAGAGGCAAGGGGAAGCTTCACTGCATCATGAACCTGCCCGCCTCTGCTCCTGTGAAGTGCCGGGAGGTAGGAAGCAGCTCTAACGGCCTGCTCTCTGTCAGGAGTTCATGGATGCCTTCAGAGAAAAGTTCGACCCGGCAATCTGGAAGCCCGAGGACCTGCCCCTGGTGAGGAGACGTCGACTAGATCGCCCTTGACGCTCTGCCCACCAGGTCCACCTCTACGCTTTCCACAAGAGCGACGATGCCGCGATCTGCGAGCAGGAGATAATGAGGTGGATCCGCTGCAGCTTCTACTTCTCCTCCTTCTCCTTCTCCTTCTCCTTCTCCTCCTCCTCCTCCACCACCACCACCACCACCACCATGAACTCCTCATCATCATCATCATTTTCATCCTCTCACGCTGCTTCAGGCGCGCCGAGAGCTCCTTGGGTTGCCGGATCCCCAACGTGGAGGCCCACACGGCATGATCCTCTCCTGTGCTGCCGATGCCTCGTGCTGACGGAGTCGAGCAGGTCAGGGACGTGGCTCCCAAGAAGCTCATGCTATGCTGCTCCTTCCGCCTCCCAGCAGAAGCAGCGTACATGAGAGAGGAGGGGGAGAGAGACCACAAGAGAGCCAAGGTAGAAGGATGAGCCATGAGCGGCGAAGACTAGTGATGGCTCAAGGAAAAGCAAAGAGCAAACAATTGAAATCTCCACCACTTCCCAACCGCCCACCTTGCCCTCCACTCCATACTTCCTCCTGCATGTCCTCTGAGGACAATTTCCTTCTCAAGGCTGGACTAAACCTCTGCTTCTGGTCGTTTCCGAGACAAAATTGGTGTGACATGTCCGCATTCTGGTTTGGGAAAACCCATAAAAAAGCAATGGCCGAGATAGGACAAGACATGATGCAGGTTTGTTAGATTGCCTCCAGCAATCTCTCCCCGTCGCCGCTCGTTCAAGAGTCTGCACGATGATGTCAAGGGCCTTGTACCTGAGTTCTTCCTTCCAGATTTCGACACGTTCGTGCCATATGAACATACAGTCCGGACACAAAACGACTGGTATCGTTTCACGTACGACAGAGGTGCAAGGATCGGCTCTGAAAATCAGAAATTTCGTTCAGGAAGGAATGAAACACACTCCCAAACCCATTTCTTCGTGTGATTCTATTTACAAAGCAAAAAGACGAAAATTCAACATGCTGGAGGAGGAGAAGCAAATATTTACAGTCCGCTTGCAGACTTCCACACCTGAGAGCTCAACGGCGTGTAGCGCTGTTGCAACTCAATTCCGCGGTGTACAAGATGTCATCTATCCCAGAAACTTTGGAGAAGTACTGCACAACATCGGCAAACTTGTGTTGACTCCCATCCCAAAACTCACTCCATATCGTGATCCCTTCCTGATTCACAAGAATGCTCTCAGAGTTGCTGCACCGAACACCCTCACCATCCCTTCGCAGGCTGAACTTGCTCAAATGTATCTCCATGCTCTGCGTGTTCCTGTGCTGGTAGAGTCTGTTCCATGCCTCTTTCCTGAACCAGACATCGTCCTTGTTCCCATCCACAGAGCTCTGTTCGTGTTTCTGCCACATGCTCTGGAAGTTGCCCATGTAACTTGGCAGCTTCAACCGGACATGCTTCGACATGACTAGGACCCCCTCGTCGTTCACGATGAAGGAAAGGTGCAGCTGAAACATCCGCAGGGCCAGCCGTGAGAGTTGCATCCCGAACTTGGACGACATCTCCTGCACAGTCGCGCGGGTCTGCGGGCAGTGGAGGAGGGCCCCAATCATTGGAATGAATCCAAAGTGATCTTGATCCAGCCTCTCGATCTTGGCGTCGAGGTCCCAAGGCAGAGTGCTCGACCTGATCTCGTCAAAGGCGTAGATGCCACTGAGCTCCTGCAGAGCCGCAGCACTCAGAGGGGAGGGATTGCTGCACGGCATGGCGTCCAACGACATGTGAAAAATGGCGACACCGGAATCGTCGACTGCCATGGGGACAAGCGTGCAACGTCTGCAGTCAAACCTTTCACTGTCGAAAGTCCTGATGTACACCTCGTAGGAGGTGTTCAACAGGGAAGACGCCCCCTCTACGCCCTGCAACGACGACAGACACCGTAGCTTCAGCGCGTCCCTTGGGTGCACGAAGTCTATGAACCGCCTGCCCTCAAGCTGCTTGAAAGGGTTCTCCCTCAGAAGCTCCTTCAACCCCGCGCTCGCAGCGGTCACCCTCCAGTCAGAGAGCGACACGGACAAGAAGAGGAACGTCCGACTGGACAGCATCCCACTCCGTATTAGCTCGTCCGCTATACGCCGGGTGTCCGCACTTCCTGGCTCCGGAGCATCGCAGGGCTCCTGCTTCAGCGATCGCACGTACTTGACCAGGTCCCCCATCAGTTGCTCGACTGTCCTCCCTGATGCGAGCGACGATCTCAGCTGGTTCAGTCCGGAGGAGATAGGCACTCTTGCGTCCAGCGCGTCTATGAGGAGCCGCCGTCTCCCGCGCTGAGCTGCCTTCTGAATCGTCTTCTTGGCAGTTAACATCTTGCAACGCGGACTTTCAAGGTGATCGGCGAGCAAATCGATGTTGCTCTTCCAGATTAAAGTCGAAATTTTGCGTTGTTGCTATGATGTGGCAGAACTGGGGGCAAGGTCCCTCACCTAGTGCACACTGTGAGATCTTGTCTGATCTTCAACATGAACATCCTTGGAACAGAGGAGAAGAAACAAGGATGAACAGATATTGACAACCTTGTTCAAACAAACAGGTGGTTACAGAGACAAGAGGGGAATGGATTTGGAAGATCGTGGAGTAAGGTGCAAGAACAAATCTTCTGGCTCAACTTGGTAAGACTACAAGTCACTGATGATGTCCTCGGCTGAGACTTGTCCTCTACACACAGATCAGCATCGTCTATCGACCATTCCAACATCTTTGTACCCTACCATCACAAATCGCGACCCCTACAGTCAGTCCCAGCATTCCTAGGATTATCACCGCTCTCCGCTCTCTGTCTCCATCCCTGCTTGGCGACCCCTCTGGCGACCCCACCCTCGACGCATTACCCCTCTCAATAGTTGTACCCCTATCTTCACATCCAACTGAACAAGAACCCCACCCCTGCTTGTTTTTACCCATATCAGGTAATAATAGAAAATGCTGGCTGTTTTCACTTCCCCACCCCTTGTTTTGACTACCCTACCCCTCCAAGGATCAACTCAGACCAGTTCCCTTGTTGCCACCCTACCCCATTCAAAGGGCATATCCGTCATCGGCTAAATGACCCCCGACCTCATAGTTTACACCCCTGTTTACCTCTAATTCCCTACCCCGGTCATGATTTCAAGGCCTCACCCCTGCACCCCTGTCCTTGCCATACACAAAATGCACACCACCCGTCATACCACCCACCCCACAAGATACTTGCTTCTCCACCCTGCGCCAACTTTGCTGTTCCGACGATGTGCTAACGACCGACAAAATGATTTCGAATCTGACAAGAAAGTTTTGAAATCCAAGAACAAAATTTCCAATTTCCAATAAAAATGTTGGTCAAGGACCCATGTAAACCCAAAGGGGCCGTGTTGTAAAGAGGTCATATCGGAGATCTCGGCGAAACTAGATCTTTTCGCATCAAAAATGCGAATCGATGTGTTCACAAAGCAACCTTGGCACGAGTCCCTGCATGTTGTCCGACCCTAGTGTCACGAGGGACTGAGTTACACATGGGTCATCGTCCCTTCTATGTACAACGTATCGTGAAGCGGTGTATCTGTGAAAGGGGTAGAGAACTCCAGAAGCCTCACGTGTTTGCCCGTCCAGAAGAGGCAAAAATTAGTTTTTGCCAAATCTAGGCGACACATCAGACTGAGATCGAAAGGGGGTCCTTTTAAACCAGAGGAGGGGGGTGAGATCCGAAGGTTGCAGAGAAGGCGTATGATTGAGACCCAACCCTTCCGTGCCAGGTCACGAGGTAACCACGAAACCAAAATTGGAAACTCGAATTCGTTTCGAAAAATATTTATCGAATATTCAAATTTGGGAAACCTGACTTTGGATATAGTTTGATCTTGAGATTGTCCTGTGAATTGCCATTCGAAGACAAGACCCTAAAAGTACCTTTTTTCAAGCTACTGATGGGAGGGGCTCTACGTATTCCTATCACCGAAGGGTATATCACACTAGGACACCAGGGCTTAGCGGATTTAGAGCCCAGGGAGATATTGTTCTTTTTTTTCCACTTTTTTTTTTAAACAACCAGGTGCGCTTGCGAAGCTCACGACGAGGATGGAGAAAGAGCGAGAGCGATATGCGGTACGAGGCAAGCACAAGGACAGCAAGAGAAGAGCCGCGTTGAGGTGTAGAAGTTAAGAGAACAAGAAACGATCATCTCGCTGCCAACACCCAAAACGGGAGATCTCCGTGACATGGCGCGAAGGCATTGATCGAGGTGAGCACAACACAAATGGCCACTCCAAGCATGGCAACGAGTCACATATTGAAGTGAGTTCAAAAAGCTGCGAAGGTAGAACAGGTGAGAGGGGAGCTGATTTTGCTCTACACAGACGTATGGGGAACAGATGAGCAAGTTGCCTGGCAGATCCCATCGGTACCTGCTTTTGGTCACTGATGGAAGTTCACACAACGATTAGAGATGAAATATGATGATAGCAAAGACGAGAATAAAATATTCAGACAAGAGGAAGAGAAGGTCGTATCAGAGAGGGCTACGTGGACTCGATGAAGAGAGCCAGTAGACGAAAATACGGGTTGGGGCTACCGGGGCACGTGGATTGCGAGAACGTGCGACCGGGGTTTTAGAATGGAAAAACAACTTCAAGATCGAGAATGTTGAGGGAGGCATCTTGAAACTTATGCTATCATGCTGCAGAGCAGCAGTGCAAGTGGGATAGATTCAAATAGCCGCAGGTTATTGGCACACAAGACGAGAGACACTTGAAATGCGGTACAAGGCAACCTCAGTGATACAGGGTGAGGTTGAGCGTGGAGTGAAACACGATTGAGTTCCTAGATTTCAGTAAATCCTGATATTTCATCGCTCGGGTGCCGCATCACAATCACAGTCCTCGGACTTGATATTGCAACAACCGCGTAGAGCAAGAAATTCATGATAGCCAACAAAAGACGCTTCCTGCAGGCAAGAATAATCGGGTTGAGATAAAGTAGAAGCCCTCGGGGAAATGCCTTGTTGTTTACGGATCATTCTTCTCTTCCTCTAGGCAACGCAGCACGTCAAGTAACTGTATAAGCGTTTCACTATCAGCCGTCTGCAGCAGCTGCTCTTGATGTCGTGTGGTGGGGAGGGAGTGGAGGAGGCACGACCTTGAGTTTCGAGCATGGCGATGATGGGCGGTCTTGTAGGTCGACGAGTCGAGCATGGCGATCAAGCGACAAGCTTTGACATGCTGGGATTAGCTTCGGTTTCAAGGGTAAAATATGAAATATTGAATGAAAATACTATAGTAAATATGAATATTTGAAATGGATTTTGAAATAACTTCAAAACGGCTCCCGGAATCGCAAGTTTGCGGCATGGAGGCGCTGCGATGGGCGGAGGTGCTGGCATTTCATGCAGGAAGAATGCGACTTCTGATCGGTGAGCTAGCGCGATCACCATGAGCTACCATGTCGAACATTGTTGCATCCATCGCAGGCAACACCTTCATCTCCATCTCGTCCTCCACCTCGTCATTTCATCATCATCATACATTCCGAGGAAGTATGTTGCAGTAGTCATCGCAATCATCTCCATCATGTTGCCCATTCATGTCCATCACAATCTTAATCATGACAGTCACCTTCAAGATTGTCGTTGTTGTTGTCGTCCTTGCCTACAATATCACTGTATATTCTGAAATATGCTCACCTGAAACATCACCATAATTATGCATACCATCACCGTCTTCCTCGTCACCACCACGACTATCGACTTCGTCGTCATCGCGTCTTTGTCATCTCCTGACTTGCAACAGTACCTAGCTTTCATTAACAACACCTTGTCTTCACTTAGTACACATCATTCTTAATACTACAGAAAATCTTGCACCGACGGCAAGGAATGCAGCAAACCAAATTCTGTTTCCTTGACTTTCCTTTGCCTTTGTTGCTGTTTCCCACCTTGAAATATAAATTTCTGATTGTTGCTCAAGGTTTTGGAGCGCTAATGTACTCGAGATCTTTTCCCTATACCATCATGTTCTGTCAGGTGAAATCTTAGAGAACGACATATGAAGTTGGTAAACAAGCTCAAAGGCATTTGGCTCTACCGGACTTCCTGTCATGAAAGAAGGGTTTGCCAAACTGATAGAGGAGTGAGGATACTTGATTGTTGTGCTCGTCGTCTCCGTGACATAACAGCTCAGGTACAAGGAAGCGAGGGAGGACGTTTCGAGGAATGTGTCGACGGAGAAAGACGCCCTGAGCATGATTGCTGAGTATCATCAAGAAATTCAGAGGCTTCTGATGGAGCACGAGGCTGCCAGGACCTCGGGCAACTCTTCTCGCATGAACGACATCCAGGGGAAGATAGACGGACTTGAGCACAAGTACAAACTTGCAAAGGTAATGTGTGGAGGATCCTGCGGTCTCAAAAGGAAGAAGAAAGAGAGATGATGCTTGTAGATGTGAAGGAGAGTGTGCTGATTGTGGAGAAAGGAGATACCATGACATCATGACGTTGATGCCGTTGACTCTTCAAACTTGCTTCAGGCATCTCTCAGCACAGTAGAAGCTATCTTGCACACGATTGATCCATACAAAGTTTGTCACATCCTGGGTGGCATGTGGATTGGAATCTCCGGATGCATCGCGGCAGCCGTTTCCCCCTCAGCTCGCAGCCTCAACGTCGGCCTTAGCCTCGGCGAGAGACTCTCCGCCCTTCTCCGCAGTCTGCTCGCTGCCCGAGCGCAAAGGAGGATAGAGAGCTCGCAGAGGGGAGGAGGAGCGAGGAGCGAGGAGGAAGAGCGGAGGAGCAGATGGGCAGAGTTCTCGCTAGACTCCTGCTGCAGGGGGTTGGGAGTGGTGGCAGCCTTCTACATGCAGAGGGTTGTGAACGCGTTCCAGGGGTCGATTATGCTCGCTGCTGTGCTCAACTGACTGCTCTTTTGCTCCAGCTCGTTGATAGGTGGATCCATCGTCGTGGAGGAGCTCGCAAAGGTGAGATGACTGGCCAAGAGCAGCAGGGGCAGGGGCAGGGGCAGGAGAAGCAACAGGGGCAGGGGCAGGAGCAGGAGCAGGGGCAGGAGCAGGAGCAGGAGCAGGAGCAGGAGCAGGAGCAGGAGCAAGAGAGTGAACGATCATGTTTGAAAGGTGGCGGATGAACGAGGGTCGCAGCTGTCGGAGCATCAGATAAGTGAGGGCCGTTGCGGACCTGGCGGGTTCTGACTTCAACTCAGACACGGGCAAGATGGCACTTGCTGTCGCCGTCTTTGCATGGCAGTATCGATCCCCAGGAGCCGGACAGGTCTCACAACCTCCTCCTCCTTCTCCATCCTCCTCCTTCTCCATCCTCCTCCTTCTCCATCCTCCTTTGTTCCCGTCCATCTCTCTGTCTCCTCCTCTTCTCCCCCCTTCCATCTCACTCTCACTCACTCTCCTCTTTCCAGCTCTGCCCCCTTCCTTCTCTTCCCCTCTCTTCCCCTCCCTTCCTTCTCTTCCCCTCTCTTCCCCTCCCTTCCTTCTCTTCCCCTCTCTTCCCCTCTCCCCCCTCTTCTTCCTGCTTTCAAACTTCTCCCTCATGACTGAGAGCGCGCGGACTCCGCAGGTCCCTGCCATCTTCTTCCCCATCGCCTTTCCAGCTTTCGTGCTCGAGAAAATTTTGTCTGCCTTTGCGAGGTGAGGAGGGGCAGGAGGGGAGGGGAGGCAGGGAGGGAGGAAGAGATCTGTAGCAGAGGAAAGCAAAGAGATTAGGACATGCGCCTCCGCCGCCGCAGCAGCAGCAGAAGCAGAAGCAGAAGCAGCAGCAGAAGCAGAAGCAGAAGCAGCAGCAGCAGCAGCAGCAGCAGCAGCAGCAGCAGCAGGATGGCTTCGATCGCGTGTTTGACATTTTTGTGTTGTTGTTGCAGTCAGCAGATGTGGACTAGCATCTTGAAATGATGGTCCATCATCATCGTCATTGTCAATGCCAGCAAGGCTTATCCACCCCCTCCCTCTCCTTTTTTACCACCAAAACATTCCAAACTTCAATGAAAACGATCAACCTGACATGTTAAACTTTTATTTCATTTCTCATCTGTTCATCATCGTCAACATTCCATGGCAACTTCCGTTATGTCCTCCTCCTCGCTTTCTTCTCCTCCGTCCTCTCAAGCTCCCGCTTTGCCCGCGACCGCGTCATCCTACCACTTTCCTCTTTCCCTACCGTCTCCTTCATTTCAGCTGCCCCTGCAGATGAAGGTAAGACAGACGCCGGATCAGGACAAGTTTCACCTGAACGACGTGTACTGCGGCTTACTCGAGGAGGGGAGTCAATCGAATTCATCTTTGCTCCTCCTCCTCCTCCTCCTCCTTTTCCTCCTCCTCCTCCTTTTCCTCCTCCTCCCTTTCCTTCTCCTGTCGCCCCCCTTCTGCTTCTTTCCATCGATTGTCTCCCCTTCTCCTCCTCATCGTACGCAGTTCCTCCAGGACTATCATTGTCGTCGTCAACATCACCTTCCCCGTCCTCCGCAGAGGCCCCGCTCGCTTCCTCCGCCGCTGACTCAGAGTCGGGAACCAGCGAAGCGTTGGGCATGTGCGAGAGGCACTTGAAGCAGCGAATGTACTCGGCAGAGACCGGAGGCTGCTGGCGTGTCAGGGGAGGAAGAGAAGAAGATGAATGGGAGGGAGAGAAGGAGAGGAAGGGGTGGGAGAGGAGCAAGGTGGGGCATGGAGGGAGGGAAAGTCAGGGAAGGAAAGTTGATATGTGGAGTAGCCTCAAGAGGGAGAGGGGGGGGGCAGGGGGAGATGCAGTGCAGGGACTAGAGGAGGAGCATGAATGTTGAGGGCGAGGAGGAGGAGGAGGAGGAGGAGGAGGAGGAGGAGGAGGAAGAGGAGGAGGAGAGAGAGAGAGGAGGAGGAGGAGGAGGAGCTGCGTCACCTCGTATCGAATGCGAGAGAAGAGCTGGTGGACCTCGACGGGCTCGAAGTGATTGTCAAGGAAGTCATCGCTGAATGCAGCAGGGCAGTCGATGCAGCGGAAGAGCATACCCCCGCAGTCCGACGCCCTCCTCTTGGAGCAGCAGCACCTGTGGTGGGGGCATATCCATCGCTCGTGGCTGCGGAGGATGACGCGCTCCCTCGCCTGCCGCGTGACGTTGGTGGAGGGAAGCTGCAGCTTCCTATAGTTGTCGTTGAAGGTGCGGAGGAGGCGTCTACCGTTGATGAAGGAGGGAGTTTTTTCCCGCATCTTGCTCAGGGTGCTGTTGAACGCCAGCCTGACGTCAGCAGCCAGGTCCTCCGGCCCGTGGTAGCTCCCGTTCTTCACCTTGCTCAGCACGTCCATAAGGCCGAGGCTGCCCCTGAACCTGGCCCCCTCCTCCTCGCCCCCTTCCCCACCGACGGAGGAGGAGCCGAGGTAGGGGCCCGCGTCCTTGCTCTTCGAGATGCGCATCACAAGGTTTCGATAGTCGTGAGGCCACTCGCCTACCGTCGACTTGTCCTCCTCAGTGAACCCGAGCTCCGAGTACACGTCCGACAGGAACCGGCGAAGCGCTCGAGCAGCCTTGTACACTGGGTGATCTGCTGCGGCCCCTCCCATGATCGCTGACAGCATGCTCTTCAGGGCAGTCACGAAGTGGCTGAAACTGTCGTACGTGCCCTTCTGCAGGCTGCGGTGAATGTGCCCGAGCTCGAACTTCCTCCCCTCGAAGGGCGGGTGGGAGCTACCGCTGCTGATGTTGCTGATGTTGCCGCAGGCGTTGGCGCGCTGGAGGAGCCTTCCCTCTCTCTTCATCAGCACTGTGTTCATCACCTTGTTGCACAGCATCCACTCGTTCGTCGGCATCCTGGTGGCCCTGGTGGGGCCATGCTGGTCGGTGCTGCTGTTATGACCCACGTGCTCTCCCTCTTCCCCGTGCTTCCCCATGTGCGCATCCTGCCAGGCATGGCTGCCACGATCCGACACGTTGTAGGCATCCAGCCCAAGGGCAGGCTGCCCCCCCCCCCCTTCCTCCTCGTCCTCCTCTTCTTCCTCGTCCTCCTCCTCCTCATCCTCCAACCCTCCCCATCCCTCCGCCTTGATGCAGAACTTGTGCATCACCGTCGGGCATCGCAAGCAGAACAGCATGATCCCGCTGGCTCGCTTGCAACGCTGGCACGTCCTCCTGTGGAGGAACCCTTTCTTCTTCGTCCCCTCAGTCTTCGTCTTCATCCCCACCACCTGCGTCGCCCCCGCCTTGCCGGACCGTCTCTTTCCGTCCAGCGTCGTCGCCCACTCGCTCGCCATGTCGTCGGAGCTCTTCCTCTTGGAGTAGTGCTTCCCCTCGAACTGCCGCACAGCAGGCAGTGTCTGGAACATCTCCTCCAGAGCCGTCGCGTTTACTATGCTCGCGTTCTCTTGCTCCGCCCTCCTCGTCGCCACCTCCGCCAGCTGCACTCCAGCAAGCTCGTCGTCGCTCCCGTTGTAGACCTTGGTCTCCGAATGCTCCAGCAGCTCCTCGATGTTCGCCTCTGACAGGTTCGCCGCAGGCGTCGCCTGCCCGATGCAGTGGAGGCCATGGCGGAGGGTGAGGACGATGTCAGAGAGCGAGGCCTTGGGCTCGAGCTCGGGCGAGCGGTTGGGGAGAAGCGCATTTACGCCTTCGCGCATGACGAGCGCATTCATCAACGCCTTCTGCTCTGCCGCCAGTACGATCCTCTCCTCCACCGTGCCCTGTGTGACCAACCTGCCGCAGGGAGTGAGAGGAGGAGCAACAAGAGGGGAGGGAGCAAAGAAGCATGGGCAAGACGAGTGCGAACTCCAACAGATGGCAGGAGGAAGCAAAGCGGGGGGAGGGTGCAGAGGGAGGGAGGGAGGGGGGGAGCAGAGGTAGAGGTGGAGATACCTATAGCAGTGAACGGTCTTCTTCTGTCCTATCCTGTGCACGCGGTCCATGGCCTGGAGGTCAGCGCTGGGGTTCCAGTCGCTGTCGAAGATGATGACGGTGTCTGCTGCGATGAGAGTGATGCCGAGGCCTCCGGCGCGGGTCGAGATGAGGTAGACGAAGAAGCGGCTCCGGGGGTTCTCGAAGCACGCGATCTCGTACCTCCTCCTCGCCGCTGGCGTCGAGCCGTCGAGCCGGAGGAACTTGTAGTTGCGGAAGCGCATGTAGTCGCCGATGAGGTCGAGCATCGAGGTGAACTGAGAGTAGATGAGCGCCTTCCTACCCTCCTGCTGCAGCTTCGTCAGGATCTTGTCCAGGACCTGCAGCTTGCTCGACGTCTCAACGATCCGCTGGTCGGTGACCATCGGGTCGAGCTCAGGCAGGAGGAAGGGATGGTTGCAAACTTTCCTCAGCTGCATCAGCATCGAGTTGAGCGAGCTGTAGTGCATGCCGAGCTTCTTGGGGGATGCAGGGTCTGTGCTGCCCTTGGACAGCTGAAGGATCTTGTCGATGTCCTGTTTGAGGATCCCAGCGTATACAAACCTCTGCATCTCTGACAGTGGAACGACTATCTTCTTCTCGATCTTGGGGGGCAGCTCCTGGCTGAGCACATCTCGTTTCAGCCTCCTGAGCATCAGGGACTCGAGGAGGGAATGGGCACATTCTATCAGAGCAGCGTCGACTACTCCCTGGCTGCTGCTGTTGTGGTAGAGCTGGTTGATGCGGAACCCGGCGTCTGAGGAGGCAGTCAACGACCATGACGAACATGGGGGAGAGAAGAATCGTGATGCGGGAAGAGGGAGGGGGAGGGAGAGGAGCAGGACAAGGTGGAAAGAGGAGGGAAGAATGGAGGAGGAAGGTTTGGAGGGAGGAGAAAGGAGGGAGAGCTAACCGAACATCTCAGAGGAATGGAGGACGTCGGGGAAGAGGATATTGAGGAGGCTCCACAGCTCATGGAGGTTGTTCTGCAGGGGAGTCCCGGTGATGAGGAGACGGTTGCAGCAGTGGAGCTTGCGGACTACTTGACCAAGGACGGTGTTCTCGTTCTTCATACGATGCGCTTCGTCCAGCACCACATAGTTCCACACTGACCTCGCAACAAACGCGTGCTGGTCCGCCACGAGCATCTCGTAGGTGGTGATGCAAATGTCGAACATGCCCTTGTTCAGGACCTCGTGCCGCAGCCGCTCTCTCTCTGCCAAGGACAGGAATCATCGCCCTCCCATCTTTGCAGCACGACCTGACCCTGATCTGCTGCAGCCCTGCTCTTGCTCTGCTGATACCTTTCCCCATCTCCTCCTCCCCCATCGCGCTGAGACTGTCCTCCTACCTCGTTCTGCACCCTTGCTTCACATCCTCTCTGAACTTTTGTGCTCCTATATGACTGCAACGAAAATTCCCTTCTCCTTCCTCCTCTTTCTTCTCTCCCTCCCTCCTCCCTCCTCGCCTCCTCTATTCATGACCTCCCTCCTCCTTCTCATGCTCTGCCACGACTTCCTCTTCTCCTCTCCTCATCACCTCGCTCCTCGCTCCCACCTTCCCTGCTCCCCACAGTCTCCACTCTCCTCCTCCTCACCAGCTGAGGACCCATGGAACGTGACGACCTTGAGACTAGGGCACCACTTCTGGGCTTCGCAAACCCAGCTGTTCATGACTGAGAGCGGGGCCACGACGAGGTGTGGGCCGGGCTCCTGCCTTACAGCCTTGAGGAAGACTAGGAAAGAGAGCACCTGGAGGGTCTTTCCCAACCCCTGAGCAGGCGCGTCAGTGGCTGGAGCATGAGGGAGGGGGGACGGGGGGGAGGATGGGTCAAGGGGGAGGAGGATGGGTCAAGGAGAGGCAGGAGGAGTGGAGTGAGCTGACAAGAAATATGTGGAGGAGAGAGGAGAATGAATAGAGGAACAAGCCGATTAGAGGGGCAGGGTGAGAGACAGAGACAGGGAAGGGAAGCGAAGTGGAGGAGGTAGGAGGAAGTAGGACCAAGGTGAAGGGCGGAGAAAGCAGGCAGGCAGGCAGGCAGGCAGGCAGGCAGGCAGGGATCAAAAGGACAATCAGCCCACCATCTCGTCCCCTAGAATAATCCCTGCGCCCTCGTCGTGCTGTTCGGCCATCCACCGGAGCCCCTCAACCTGATACCCGCGCATCTCCCCTCCCACCACTTGCCTCGGCTGCCCCTTGACCGGTAGTTTGTGCTTCTTGATCTCCTCAATCGCTCGGAAGAGCAGCGAGTCCTCCTGCTCCCGCACTCCAGCCAGCAGCTCCGTCATGCGCAGCAGCTTCGCGCCCGTCGCCCCGTCGATCTCTCTGCCGTTGCAAGTGAGATGCCAGAGGAAGGAAGGGGGAGGAGGACTGCAAGCCCGAGACGAGGAGGACTTGAGCTGGGGTTAAGGGCAAGCAGAGAAGAAGAGAGCAGGAGAGAAGGAGTAGACGGTGAAGGTGAGGGAGCAGAGAGAAGGAGCAGGAACTTGGGCTGTGATGCAGGACGGACCTGTCATGCGGAGCAAGAAAAGGAGAGAAATGGTCCCAACGATCGATGACGAACTGAGCTCGTTTTCCCTGAGAAATCTTGGAGAAACGATGGAGAGTCGCAATCTGTGTTGGGGTGAACGAACAATTGAGACAACCGGAAGAGACTGTATAGCGGCATCTTGCCTGGTTGGCCCGTTGAGCATTCGCGACAGCAGATTCCTTCCTCTTTGACTGAGAGGATGGGAAGCAAGAAAGGAGCAGGAGCAGGAGCAGGAGCAGGAGCAGGAGCAGGAGCAGGAGCAGGAGAAAGGAAGACGAAGAGAAAAGAAAGTCAACTAAAGTCAGATTCGAAACATTCCAAGGAACACCTGTGGCCAGACGTTCTCCACTGGGACGCGATCGAACGCACCATCCAAGGCATAGTAGAAACTCTCCTTCCGGTTTCGCTCCTTGTGAACAGGAGTACCCATCTCCTCCGCCTCTGCCTGCTCCTCCTCCTCCTCCTCCTCCTCCTCCTCCTCCTCCTCCTCCTCCTCCCCTCCCCCAACCTCCCCCAGCAGCTCATCGGTAGCCCCCTCAGCAGCAGCAGCCCCCTCAGCCTCACGCTTGCGGTATACAGAGACCAGCAGCCCATCTCGACAGAGGTTGGAGAGGTGAATACCGAGGTAGAAGGGAGCATCGAATGCGACCTCCTTGTTCCTCTCACTGATCCTATCGACAGCACCATCAGAGTCCAACTCGCGGAGAGCGCGGGTGGCAGGAAGCGAGCAGCAGGCAGCAAAAGCTCACCATTGGATGATCTGGTTCTTGGAGACGGCTGACTGGGGTGAGGTAGCGTTCAACATGTGCAGAGCGTGTCTGAGTGAGGAACGGCTGAGCTCAAGTAGCACAACACACACATGCGCTTACAAGCACGTCGACCGCCAGGACCCGCGCATCTTCCGGGGAGATGCCCTGGCATTGTTGAAGGCGTGGTCGATGTCGACAAAGTTGTCGTCCTGCTGCCTGTAGACAGGTCGTCGCTTCATGTCGCTGCAGTGGCTGGGAGTCAGAGGAGAGGAGGAACCGAGAGGTAGATTGTTTCCCACCTCACTTCCATCGAGAAGGTCTGTCGCCGACGATCCCTCTCCTCCTCGCTCACTCTCTTGAGGGAGCTCTGCACACAAACCTTCTTGTCAGGCCCAGAGGATCCGCAGAGCACAACAAATCCAACACCTCGTAGTCCTCCTGCATCCACTGCGACAAGTTCTGGTACAATGACCTCTCCTCCTCTGCTAAGTCCTTCCATTCCGCGCGAAGTTGTCGCTCCTGCGCATTGCGATCTACCACCATCTTTTTGACCTCGATCATCGTCTCGATTCCATGCCGGTCACGCAGCGTCTGCTGGATGGAAGACAAGAAAGTTGCAGGAGCCAGCGGCTTGATCGAGCTAAAGTTGTGCTCGAGCTGCTCTTCGAGGTACGTCCAGGCCTCATGACGATCGGAGATGCAGGAGGGTGAAGTCTCGTTGCTGCTGCTCCCTCTCTCTAGCTCTGTTGAGAACACAAAGTTCTGCCTCCATCGCATGCTGAAGAGGAGAGGAGCGTCCCTCCGCTCTAAGTCCAGGTACTTTTTCGCCTCGTGCAGGAGGTGCCTCCCCCAGCTGACGTTGTTACAGACACCCAAGTAGAAGTTCAGCCTCTGCTCCATCATCGCCTCCTCCTCCTTCCTCAGCGACTGGTTGTAGGCCATCTCGCGCTTGATGAACATTCGAAACAGCTGGTAGGCAGGCGGCGGTTTCCCAGCCACAGGCCACAGGAACCACCCAAAGAAAGGAGCCTTGACCCACCGGTGCTGCGCAGGAGGTCGAGGAAGGAAGCAGCGGACGGTTCTCCTTACCTCCTGCAAGACAGAGCTGACGGGCACGTGGGTGTCCGGATCCATCCAAGACCACCTCCCATCCTTGAACTTCCACTCGAAACTCTTTCCCCTCTCGTTGCAACGGGTCTGGTTGACGAGCATTTCGAGGGCGTCCGGGCAGATCCAGTTCTCCGAAGAGCGGGTCGGAAAGCGACCGTAGCTCTGAAGGACTCTGGAGATCCTGTTGGCCAGTGTTTGGTTGATGAAGTCGAGCAGCACAACACATCGTGGAGGGATCTGAGCGAGGAAGTTGGCACCCATGAGGAGGATAGGATCGTTCGTCGTTGCGCCCCTGATCCTTACTTTCCTCGAGAGCTCGAGCTTCGGGATGTTCTCCAACACCTCTGTGTTGACGTAGTACAGGGAAGTGTTGTACTCTGCTGCCATCTGAAGCGCTCGGTCGCGATCCTTTTGGGTCAGAATCAGCCGCTTGTTCAGGCTGTTGGGATTGGGTGGGAGAGCAGGGGGCCTCATGAATGGCTGCGGGGTCTGTCTGGACCTCGTGCCAGCATTCTGATCTGAGGGGGGAAAGATCAACCAGCGTCAGAAACCAACGGAGCACAAGGCAGCAAGTTCACACCTCGGACCCTGACGAACGACTCGTACCGGATCTCCAGCCTCTGCCCTGCAGGAATGTTCTGAGGCAAGCGCACCATCACTTGATCGTCTCCATTGCGCAGGATCATCGAGCCTCCCCTGTAACAATTCTGTTGGAGGACTGTAGAGATGATTCTCGGCACCCGTTGGATCCAAGGGCTCCCTTGTGTTCCTGTTCTCGGGATGGGTATTTGGATCTTCAGTACCTGCCCGACTACTGCCGTCTCAGGGATCTGCACATCCTATCAGACATGAAGCAGTCTGGTCATCAAACTACCTTGATTGACACCACATAGTCAGAAATAGAGATGTTCAAACGACTCCCGGGAACCATTTCTTCGCTCACTCTCAGATCTCGCAATTCATACCCCACCAAAGTTCCCCACAGGATAACTGGTAGTGCGCGCTGAAGGCGCACAGGAGCAGCACAGTCATGAAGTATTGAGTGAGACATATCAGATTTACCTGATCAAGTAGCATGCTTCCGGGGGTTTCCGATGCCGCTGGTCTCTTGATCGATGCTCCTGCTGTCCTGTATATCGGTAACGCCAGCGCTGGGTCAGACTGCAGGCTCCACGCGTGCTTCTGCTTCGAACATGATGGCAATGGCTCTGATGAGACCTGCCTCGCGCTCTCCTGAGGAAGACTTGTGCCCCCCCGCAGCCTCCTCGAGCACAGCAGGAGGACGTCACTGTACCGTTGAGCTTTCAGCCATCCGACAGCAGACGCGTCAGAGGGCCGAAAGGTGTCGTGCGGAGAGTTGGTTACGAACGCAAGGAGAATGGAAGTGATGGCCAGGAAGACGTTGAAGCTCCTTGCTCGGAAGGCTCCCAGTGTTTTCATTGGACCCCGACGGCGATGTATGTTCCTGCGGGGTACTCGGCGCCTCCCTCAGTGACTGGTGGTCTCATCAACTGACGAAGCACCAGCCTATACCATGGTGTTACACTAGACACTTGGATGGACTGTAACTTAGCCAACTTGGGAGAAGAGCCGCAAGCAAACCCCCTGCTGGATTCACACTGTCCCGTGCGAAAGGCAATCGGTATTCAAATCATGAGGTGGATCTTTTAGCTTGTCCAACCCTGAAAACGACCACCACCTGAGACAATGATCTCATTTCATCTATCACCACACGTGGCGAACTTTTTCTCCTTGGGTCCTCCCATCTACCACTCCTCCTCCAGTCGTTCTCCGCGGATCCTGGTACTGAGGTCTGAGATCCGTCTGCCAGCTCAGCGTCTGAGGCAAGATGTTCTTCTGGTTTTCATGCATCCTCCATCTCCTTCAGGTTTGTTCTCTGTCGTCTCCTCCTCCTCTCCTCTCCTCTCTTTCCCCGTTTCTCCCTGCCTTCCGAACCCTCACTCTTCGTAGCGCCCGCACGCCATGCGGGACCCTGTCCCTCATCCCCTCGCAGACTGGGTCCTCTGGGCCCGCTCCAGGCCCGCCCCCAGGCCCGCGGCGCGGCCCGGGCCCGGGCCCGGCCGGGCTGACGGATCACAAGTTTGTTAGACTTGTACTGTGCCAAAAAAATGCAGACATCATATCGACCTTAGCTGTAACAAGACAGTTTTGCTCAAGACCGAGTTCAGTTAATGCACACGAAAACCAGAATTCAAGTGAGGAGCACATGAGAGATACAAATGTAAACTTCAGTGACTCAAGCATCCAGCCATGAGAGCACCTGAGCAAGACGGCTAGGGAGGAGTCCCTCTTCCGAAGTTCGTCCCACGTACTACATGGCCGCCTCGAAAACACGTAAGGGTCTTGGAAGCCTCCCGGCCGCGGCATGTGGGCCGCCGCCGCGGCGCGCCCCCGCGCGGCCGGGCCGGGCCGGGCCCGGGCCGGCACTGAGTCACAGTGTCCGATCACACTGGCTGTCAGTGTGCCCCCCCCAGGCCATCCGATGACTCTCATCCCGGCGGAGGAGCTCACTGAGTCATGGTAATCATTCAAGTTAAGTTTAATGGATGCTAGTAGAATCCATGGAGGCATTCAACGGCTCACCATGACTTCCTCTGCATCCTCTGCGTCCGGCATCCTGGGGAGAGGAGGAGCAGAAGCGTTTGAAGTGTAGACGGTGCTGCTGGAGGTGTTGTACGGCAGCGCGGTGGGGATCCTCAAGTCGGCGTTGGCCGGGGGAGGAGCGTGGTAGGGGTAAGGACGGAACTCATAGGGTAGACGAAGGTGGTCGGCGGCTGAGTACCTTGAGGGAGCGGTCAGATAAAGCAGGGAGAGCAGGGAGAACCATTTCATGACGATGCCCGCGGTGAACGCAAAGGCCAGGACGAAGCCGATAGGGTTTGAGTTCGAAGCCTGACAGCACAAGGTATGAGAGAGTTGCTGCGATCCGAGACTCTGACACGTCACCATGAGGACAGATGCCGCCACGACGTCTGCGAGCAGGCACAAGCAGTACATCTGCCACATGTACACCCCGACACAGCAATCGAAGCTGGTCAACACCGAATGTCGGTAAGAGTTGAAGTTCAAACTGTAGTCAGCTCGAAAGCCCATCCCGAGGCCCCACTCCATCCCGGACTGCACCAAGATCAGCACAGTGACGATGAACTCGTCGGTGCTGTCAGCCTTGCAGGCGTAAGGGAAGGCAGACATGAGACTGAGCAGGAGGCAGGCTAGCTGGATCAGAATGTCGCATGCTTGCTGTGCAGGCCGAGTGTTTCGGATCGTGCTCCTGGGTTTCAACATGAGGTAAACGCAGTAGAGCAACTCCAAGAGCTTGAGGCCCCGCACGACGGCGAAGATGGAGACACAGGCGCATAAAATTCCGGTGTCTCCACCGTTGGAGGACTGATACGTGTTGAAGCCGTACATGAAGGAAGTGCAGGTGGCCGACACGCCCGAGCATGCTGAAGGGCTCGAGTAGGTGTTCCCATCTGTAGGACAGTACCACTTGCCCGAGGGGCAGCCACTTGCTGTTAGATAAGACCTGTCAACAAGCGTCAAACATTGAAATGTTTTTGGATGATACATCAAATGTTGTGCATGCCTGGCAAAGCGTATCATGATTATATGCCATAAAGTACTTGGTTGTACATCATGCAATTTCATAACAAGTCATCACTAATCGAATGATGTCAAATCATGTCATATCGTATCATATCCAAGCCAATTTCATGATATCTGCCCAACAAGGTGTAGCTGGAGAAATAATTGCCTCACATTTCGCAGGTTGACTTGTGAGAGCCTTTCAACTCAATCACAACCTGTCTTTGATGTAATTCTTGGTAGTGAATGAAGATACTCGCTCCTGCTACCCGCCTTTTGCTTCAAAGCATCGCTTCTGATTAGCATCCACCTTCTCAAAGCCTGAGAATTAGAACTGTGTGAAAGATTAGCGGCATGGTCAACGTGAGGTTAGATCATGAGGGAAAATGATTTTTAACTGACGATGAGGAGAAAACGAATCTTTGTGTTTGTATGAATGCTTCACCCGTGATGCACTCCAATCTTTTCTCCTTTGTTTCCAGTCATTACCTGCACTCCCCTCTTCTATTCCCCGCTTATATTTCTCTCTCTTGGTCCTCTACCAAGTTGTTTGTCTTCTTTCTTTTCCCTGCTCTCTCTCTTCGCTTTGCTGTTTAGGCACAATCCTCGTCTGATCCCCTCTTGCCTACCCTGCTACCTTTAGTACCATACCCAATGCTTCTTCCCCACTACCTCCTACTTGGGCGAATGATAGAGGAGAATCATCAATGACAGTGTAGAGAAAACAGGCAATAGGATAGAGTAGGAATACAGATTCCTCCGTTGTTTCCTGCTTCTGATCTCGAGTTGAAATAGGAGAGGGAGGAGGTGACAAAGGGAGGTGCTGGAGGGAGGGGAGGAGACAGGAAGGAAGAGAAGAGTTGAGGGAAGCAGGGGGCATCTCTTGTGTTGCAGTCATCCCTATCTTGTCATGAGCGCTCTTCTCCTTCATTTCTGCTTCCACCCGCACAGTTCTGCTCCACTCGCATCCCTCCGCCTCTCCTGCCCCCTGTCTCCTTCTTCTCGAGGCCATGCTCCCTTGCAGCTGGGAATGGATATCCAGGGGCCTGAAATTTGTGGCAGGGTCCCTCCTTTAGGTGGAACCTTGCAGCTTTTTACCTTAGCATCAATTAGAGAAACGTCGGACATCAGTGGGTAGGGATGTATACGGGCCACCGATAGTGACATGAACAATTCAACTCGATCCGGCAAAAATCTTTTGAAACTGTTTAAAGGATAATTGCATAGATAAAAGCAGGACTGAGTCACGGACACTGGCAAGTCGTTCCGAGGCTTCTCAATGGTACGGTCCTGTCGGACGGTGTCATCAGGCAGCTTCAACATGTGAACAGGGCTGATCTGTTCTCTTCTAGCATCTCCTGTGAAGTTCGAGCCTCAGATGTGAAGAAACTCAGTCACTGGGTTTATCCTACCGGAGGCAGGAGGTCCATCAGCGCTTTTCTCACAGCATCCTTGTTAGAGAACATGGGCATGAGCCTAGAGAAAGAATGAATGGAGGGATGACGCAGACGGAGCCGAGGCCAAGATAGAGGTAAACTTACAGCTCACAGTAGGTAGCGTTGCGCCCAAGGTTGTTCCCGAAGATCTGACAAGCGATGTAGAAGGGAGGAGTGAGCAGCTGAGAAAGAGGATCATCCACGAGAAGAGCAGGCGACAGCAAGAGACAAGACCTTACGGCCATAAAAACTTCTGCACTTCTTACGCTTTACCCATGGTGCAGAATCGAAGATTTCATAGTTGCAAGATCTCGTCCTCCAGTCCAACTGTGAGAGGTCATTGCCTGAGCAGCAGCTTGTCCGTCCCTGCAGCCCCATGGCAAAGAGTTTCTGCGGCAGCTCTGCTTCGAAAGCCTTTCTCGCGCTCTCGTAGTGTTGTTTGTCGATGTAGCCTAGCCACGTGAGTGACAAGTCTGTAGCTGAGAGACAACAAGCTCCCACCTAGAGTCCAGCTCAACATAAACCTTCTTGCGCGCGCGTTCAACGAGTTCAGAAGCCTCCAGAACCATTCCATGATCTGCAAGAGGTTCAGCCAACCGAAGAGGAGAGGGAACGAGAGTATGCGGGAAGCTGATGCAAGAAGAGGGAGGGGGGAGCAATCAAACAGATTCAAGGAAGGGATGGGAGGACTGGAAGACGTGAGCAACACGCATCGTCGAGGAGAAAGAGCAGAAGGATGAGCTAGTGATCTCCCACTGGTTCGCTGTCGGAGAAGACGAAGTAATGGGTTGAAGATCGGAGTGAGTCAATATCGATGACAGGGAAGCCTTGAACGACTTGCTGAATCTGTCGGAGCCATGTCATGAGCAAGAAAGAGCATATCAAGTCGAATTACACCTCTAGGCCGCTCAAGGCTGATAGAGTACCAGAAGGTATGATGTCAAAGACAGCATCAGCGACTGAAGACTCGAAGGAGGTATGGGAGGGAAGAGAGGATTCTTGATCGAAGGATGAATTTTCTCTGCAGCTTGGTGACAACTCTGCAACCTCGTTGCTGTCGGCGACGTTGTCTTCCCCCAACGATACTGTTCTCTTAACCTCTCCAGCTAGGAGTTTGCACAATTTGATGTCCAGACGGATTCCCAAAGGTATCTGGTTGATGATGGAAAATCCGATCAATTTACCAAGGATACAAGCGGTGTCATTCTGCAGCAAGAGATCAACAGGGTTAAACGTGGGGCTCCAGGCTTACAGTCCCAGCTGTGGGGGTGTCTTGGTTAGATGAAGCTGTTTCATCGCCTGCTGAATCTTTATCCTCCACATCTCATCATGCTTGCACATACCAGCAAGAGATTGTGCTATCCAAGAGGCCCCATCCAACCTCTCCCAGCATCTGCTTTCTTCGGAACCTGAAACACTTGGTCACAAGACACAGCAGGCAACCAGATCGATGCCCGAACTACCGTGGCCCTGACTCTCACAGCGAGGAGGAGCCTCTTCCGTATTGCTAGAAACCAGCACGAAGCTATTCTGTTCCTCTGCACTTTGTGATCCTCGTGGCGCTTGACACGCGCATGACGGGCGACACGAAAGCGCTCCCGTAGCCACAGTGGTTGCAATGTCGATGTTCCCCGGAACAGCGAAATGCAAGGATTGGCATTCCAAGATCTGATCGGCAGCTCTTGCAGGTCTCATCCTGTCCACAAACAGCTCCATTTTGGGGCAAAAGAGATGCTTGTAACGCGCCATGTTCTGCTCTCGAACCCATTCCAGTCGTGCTCTCAAGCTCCATCTCTGATCATGGGGCGTCAAGATGCTAGAAAAGGGAACAAGGGGACTCACATCAGCGGGAAAGGCATAACACATGATGGAGAAGACAAGATCATGATCCCCTGCCACTGCTGATGCCGTGCTATCCTGAATAAAAAATCTCGTCAACCTCCGAGCAAAGGATTACAGTTTTGGTTTGTAAATACCTTGCCCAGACGATCATGACTTGCCATTGCAAAGGCGAAGGCGACATCTGTACAATGGTCGGAATTGATGGTGAAGTCTTAGCATCTCACCTTGCAACCATGGCAACGTAGGCATCTTCCTGCTGTTCTAATGCTCCGGCATCTGCTACTTTCGGACTGTCATATCTATCTTACTTTATCATCCTCGATCTGTCCCAACGACCTTGTATCCTTTATCGTTCTTCCTTCCATAACTTCCTCCCATGCCCTCTCTGGCCTCCCTTCCTCCCTGCCTGCCTTCCCGCTCCCTCCCAGCCCATTATGGAGATTGAAGAGCTTGATCTTTTAGTTAATGAATTTCACAAGAACTCACCTCAGCGTACGCATAACCCACTGGAAAAGGCAGCAACAAATACCTACAGACAAGACTATGAAGGCTACAACAACCTTGGACGGGGTGAGTTTGGAGGAGGAACAAGGTCGACAACTCGCACCCTTAAGAGTCTCTGCTACTTTGCTCCGGTGAGCCCTTTCAGTCATTGAATACTTCAAGTGAAGGTAGGTAGGCAGGAGGAGAAGGCACTGCGGCAGGCAGTAAGGAGGAGAAGGCAGCAGGCAGTAAGGAGGAGAAGGCAGCAGGCAGTAAGGAGGAGAAGGCAGCAGCCAGCAAGCAGGAGAAGGCAGCAGGCAACAAGGACTCGCTGGTATCATTTCATTCAGCTGCAAAAACTCGGGGTGACATTCAGTTCATTCGCACAGAGCCAACATTCGACTCTCAGCGTTCACGTGACATCCATTCGGAAACCGACGGTCTTTGTTTCGAACCCCAGGCGAGATGCTAAAGATTGTGACCGAAAAGAAGGCGAAAGGAATGGAGAGTTTGCTGTCGATTCCTTCGTCCCATCATGATTTCCCACGCCGTCATACATCTCTGCAAGCTTGGTATCTACTTCAACGTGGCTGAGCAGCCTGCTGCATGGACAAATATTAGGCACACAGAAGCATAACCAAGAAACAGACAAACCTCCTTCTCCTGCTCTGTAATTCCTGAAACAATCTTAATATGAACAATTAATTTCTTGGTACAATGAATCACCTTTTGCCTCAGCTCCGATTCCTCGCGCTTTTTCCTCTCTAGCAAGACTTGCTGTAGCCTCCTTTCCTCCTCTTTCCTCCGCCGCCGCTCTACCGCATGAAGTCTGATAAGATCTTGTGTGCGAATAACTTCTTTCACTCTTTCTGAGACTTTGTCGTTCATGATGAAGCTTGTGGCTGAGGAGATGCGCGGCCTGAAGTTGAGACTGGACGAAAACGCCTTGTTTTCGGAGGATTGCCACGAGTGCGAGCTCCTCTTCGCTCCCCTCGAGGCTGTTTTCCTCTGCGAATGCTGCTTGGATTCAGAACAGGAAAAGGAGCACAGGGAGCTTTACCTCGCCCATCTCGTCGGACGAACTCATCGAGCTCAACCTGACAAAGGAGTGACATTCTGCCGAGTTGCAAAGCTCGCAATTACAACTGAGGCGAGCTATAGGCTTTGCTGAATCGAAGACCTTCGAGCGGCGTCCTTCTCAAGTAAGGAACATCAGAGATGGAGCGCATCCCTTCAAAGTAAACATCACGCTACTTCAATGGTATTTCAGGCATGAACAATACCAGACATGCCATCAGGAACATAAACCGAAGATGCCGTCGAGCTTGATTCAGATTCATTCTGAGCATCGAGTTTACGCTAGTGGGAACACCCATGATTGTTCAAACCTTGGTTTCATTGCCCCCAGGATGCATGCTTCGGCTTGAGGAGCTGTTTTGCATGTAAGTTGTGATGGCGTGCTAGTTTTGAGTGTACTTCATATGCTTGATGTTGTCGACCTGCTTGCTTTGTTCACCTTTGATCTTGTTTCTTCTATCATCGATGACAAGCTTCATTCCCCACACCTCTTCACTGGTTTGGCTCCTACATGTGCCGTCTGTGGCACTGATACCAACCACCACTGCCAGTGGCAAACTGCTCTCAAGAGGTCAGTACAAATAACACAAGGAATCTAATCAACTTCTATCATTTCTCAACGGAGAATCATTAACATTGCAGGGAACTAGATCATGGATTGCATCGTTGACGTTGGCAAGAAAGATTCTACCCTTTGTGGATGTTTTTGTACTTGTTCTTTGGTAGCATACACGAAATCTGAGCTAGAAACGCAGCTATGATCAAACTTGGTCGAGATAAATTCTCCCTCCCTTCCTGTCATCTCAATTCTTGCTCTCCTGTTGTATTGAAATCTCTTGATTGCTTTCCGACATTTCGGTCCTCAGTTCCAGCGGTCCCCCCACCCCCATTTTTCACCTATTGCAACCAATACCGGTCCTCTGCCCTTGAGTGGAACCACCCATCATAACCTCCCACCTCTCCAACGCACTTCCCCTGACTACCCTCTGTCAAAAGGAACCCCCTCGCTCAAATTTCACCCTACCCTTTCCCCGTGAGATCGTCTAGGATGTGGGTGGGGGTAGTACGGTCAGCCGGGGTCCGACGAGCAAGGGGGGTCGTCCTATCACCATTCGGGTTTACTACACCCATCGAGTCAGCCCAGCCCACCCCTACCGTACCCCCCCCAGTGACAGGGCGAGTAACTTCACGGAGGACCCTACCCCAGCACTTCCAAACTTTATCGGCCCAATTTGGCCCTACCCAGCCTGGCCCTAGAAGCAAACTACCCCTACCACCCCATTTACAAGAGGAGGTACCCCAGGACTGATAGAAGGAATGTTAACTTAAATGGGGCCCGTGGGAGGTTGACTTCCGAATTAGCAGGTTCATTGGGACCCCACGAATTTTTTTAAACAATTGGACCCCGAGGGGTCCAAAGAAATTTTCGTGGGGTGGGGTGGCCCGGGTTGAGTACCGAATTGGTTTCTACCGTGCACGGGATCATATTTCCTTCGGGTAGTACAGGGGGGAGGGGTCAGTACACCCCTTCAGTGCCCACACACCGAGCCTCTTGAAAGGGGTAGGGGGTCATCATCTTTGGTATTCCAGAGAACGGATCAGTCCGGAAACGACACCAGGGTGGGTAGTCAGTGACAGTGAGATGAAGGGTGGGTACTCAGCCAACGGGTGCCGTGGGATGTCAGTTGATGACAGTGAGTTGAGACTCTCTCGAGGTCTCTCGGATCTACCGGTTCATTGTTTTCGCCGTTCCGGGCCAGCCGGGCGGCTGGGCCGAGTTTTGGTTTCCGAGAGTCACAGTTCTTTACTCAAACACACAGTACTGTGACTGAGTGCCGCCGCCCGCACTATCCGATCCGGGGCCCGGCCGCCCCCGGCCCCGGGCCCCTGACGGTTCAATATCGTACCGTACGGTTGACGCTGCGACGGTCCCGAGTGAGGGAGTCCCGGTGACCAAGAGGCACTGCCGCAGTGTCAGACCGTGCGGTCCGCTCTTCATGACCGTGGGCCAGCGGCGGTCATCATCATGACGGTATGGCTAATCAGGATCGGAACCGTGTGACCGGGCGTGCCGGGCCGGCCCGGTGGCATGACCGAACGCCTATAAACTTCGCGGCAGCTAGTATTAATTTCACTCTTATCTACTGCAACGCATTGCGGATTTGTTGCTTGGCTGAGAGAGATAGTTGCTTGGGGTACATGACGTCAAAAGTGATGACGAGGTCTCCTTTCTGCGACGTGGTAGCAAACGTCAGTTGTCGTATTTAAGCCTATTTCTATCTTGCCTGCCCGGGCTCCTTCGACTTGGGGAACCCCTCGCCTCGAACTATCTTTGTATAATTTGGCGATACTACATCCTGAATTTCCACAGATATCTTCCGCTTATCCAAAGTCTCGAGGTGAAACTGCCACTAGGCGTCAGCCAATGTAAGTGCTGATGAGATTCCGTAACCGTGAAGCCCGTGAGCGCATCAACCAACTTCACTCCCTTAACTTTGTAAATCAGATCAGATCCGCTCCTCTGTCCAAAGATAGTGATCACAGGCAACAAAACAAAACTTCGTGCACCTGAAATCTATCGTGAGGCTTTTCCTTGATCACAAAAACGACATCTTGAGCCTAATCGACCGATTCAGAATGTTTCAATTGAGCGAAATTGCCTGACACCTGCCCCTGAGCGTATTCATCTCCTTCGCCCGCATACGTCAATTTAGTCCCAGCCTGTCAGGAAGTAACATCAACTTCAGGCAAAGGTTCAAAACAATCGTTGAACCTTCCATCCTGGCTTCACTTGAATCTCAAAAGTGTGTTCGGTGCTCCTGTCCGATTGAAGTGTTATCATCAACACTTTGAGTCCCTACATTGATTGAGTACCTCCCTGCCGAAACAGACTTGCGAGTGATTTTCATCTTCTTTGTCACTCCAGTAAAGAGTTCTTCCAATGTCAACTTCAAGGCAGTCAAATTGGCAGACGCCCAAAAGATCGAATATTGGCACCTTCAAATCCGTGACGAACGGAGTTTTCATATTCATCGCGCCCCCCATTCCGCCCATTCCCATTCCGCCCATTCCGCCCATTCCGCCCATTCCTCCCATGCCACCCATTCCTCCCATCCCTGACCGAAATCTGCCTCCCATCCCTCCTGAAAACATGTCGTCGAAATCATCGAAGCCCCCAAAAGAACCTTGGCGATGTCAGAGATTTTGAGCATCCAAGTAGAGCATACCGAAGCCGGAAGACCCGAAGAAGTTTCTGAAGATTTCATTGGGATCTCCCCGGAACTCATACCTGATTTGAAAGTGATTGAAAGGCTCTTTCATCCACTGGCTGATTTACCTAAATCCGCCCGGCATTCCTCCTGCTCCTCCTGCACTAGAGGGTAAGGCTGACCACCAACCCAGAGATTCTTGCTGTGCCAGGAAAAGCACAGAATCAAACTTCACCTGGAGCGTTTCCTTTGAGTCCTTCTTCTCCAAATTGGTCATAGACTTTGCGTTTGTTGGAATCTGACAAGACATCATAGGCCTAGAGATCAATATCAACCAAGAAGCAAGATAGGATCGCAGAAGGGATCAGGCGATATGAAGGGATCAGGAGACATACCTCGGCGATGTCTTTGAATTTCTGTTCCGCTTCCTGTCATTTGCATCAGCACGATCAGTTCAGTTTCATAGTTGTTCCATTGCAGTGCAGCACGTGAAAGATACCCTACCGCTTGTCTATCTGGGTTTTTGTCCGGATGCCATTTCATGGCTTGCTTCTTGTATGCCTTCTTAATGTCATTTTCTGTCGCCTACAACATAATGAACAATCTCAACAACGAGGACAGACTTGAAACCTTCTTGTCTACACCGAGGATACCATAATAGTCTTTCCCCATCGTCTTGAATTTCTGCATGCCCAGTCAGTATTCAAGCACAACCAAATCCAACCACAGCCTGTCAATCGTTTCGGATCATCCCTCATTCTTCTCATCTCCCTGTCTCTCCTCTTCCTCTTCCTCCCTCTTTCTCTCTTCTCCTTCCTTCTTCGTTTGCTCCTCTCCTTCCCTCCCCTGCTCCTCCCCTCCACATTCCGCCTGTTCCCCTTTCTATTCCCTTGTGGCGTACGGGTGCATTTCCAACTTGCACTCTTCTAGCACTTCTAGAATTCCGCGTTAACCACGAATCCGGGTGTCCGCCGACCGGTCGGTGACAGTCAGCAGGCCGGCAGTAGTTCCCAGGCCCGGTATGAGGGGGATGATGTTGCAATAAGGGACTCAAAGCAATGCGCAATCAGGTAGGCGCAGGAAGAGCAGGAGGAGGAGCAGGAGGAGGAGGAGGAGGACGTGCAGAATCAGGATCAGGAAAGCGACTGCATTCTTCAAGGTATGAGCGCTCGACAAATCTCCTCCTACCACTGCTGGTGTTGTGCTCCTTCACGCATGGTTGGGCTTTCGTAAATCCAATCATGGCGGCGTTGTCGTCTACCCCTCCGAAGAAGGTGAGAGGCAAGCGTGTTCTGTTCACCTCTCAGTTGGAGCCCAGGTCGCCATCATAGGAGGGGGTCCGGCGGGACTGACAATGGCACACGCTCTCCTGAAACTTCCCACGGGAGTCGAGCAAGTCAAGGTATTCGAGCAGAAGAACGAAAGTTTGCCGGGGATAGGGGGAGGGATTCAGATCAACGGGGGAGCTGCGGTGCTGAGCAGGTCAGGCAGCTGCGGCAGGGGACGGGAACGGTGACATGCTGTGTAAGGCTGGGGATGAGGGCGAAGATCGCAGAGTCGTGTCAACCCCTGCGGACCATTTTGTCGCGCAACGTCGACGGGAGGGAGTTGCTGAAGATGTCAGTGCCGGATGTGGTGAGAAGCTTTGCTGGCTTGCTGTTCAGTGGTGACAATGGGGGCTCAAGATCGCTCGGGATCGTGCGGCCCGAGAGGCTCTCATGGTGGAGGGAGATATTATGGCGTACTTGGTCATGCGCGATCACCTCCAGTCGATCCTGTCAGGTCCTCCCGACCTGTGCCCTCCCGCCTCCTTCCATCTTTTCCTCCTCCTCCTCCTCCTCCTCCTCCTCCTCCTCCTCCTCCTCCTCCTCCTTCCTCCTTCTTGTCCTCTCCCCCTCAGCCATCGCAGTTACCCCCACCCCTGCTCCTACCCTTTGCTGCCGCTGGTGCTGCTCCTCCTCCTAGTTCCCCTCTCCTGTCTCTACTGCGCCTGCTTTTGTACTCATCTCCCTTTTGCCTCTGCAGATGACCTCCCGGACGGAACCGTGATCTACGGAAAGAAGCTGAAGGACATGCAGGTTGGAGACGCAGGCTCGCTCTGCTCCTTCCAAGGTGACAGCCGTTGGCGGACGCTGCAACGTCGGAGACTCTGACATGGCGGCTAGACGGCACCAGCGAGCAGTTCGACCTCGTCATAGGATGCGATGGGATCAAGTAAGAGGAGACTCGCCATCGTCCTCCCTCACCCTCCTCAGGTCCAGAGTCAGGCAGGAGATCGTCGGGCAGGAGACGAAGATGTGAGCCCGTACAAACTCGTCCTCGTCCTCGTCCTCGTCCTTTTTCCCCCTTCACCTCGTCCTCTCGCTTCCCTTCCCCGTCCTTGTCTTTGTCCTACATGCTGTTGCCTCCTCCTCCTACGTCTTCCGCACCTCCCTTCACCGTTCCTTCTCCCTCCTCCTCCTCACCTCTTGCCTATCAGATACTCGGGGATTCGCATCATCTTCAGTGTCGCGCCTGCCGAAGGAGATTCTTCTCGCCCTGCAGACGTTCAATCGGATGTTCACCAGTGGTTTGGTGAGAGAGGCAGGAGGAGAGGAGGGGAGGAGTATAGAGGAGGAGGCAGGAGGAGAGGAGGGGAGGAGTATAGAGGAGGAGGCAGGAGGAGAGGAGGGGAGGAGTATAGAGGAGGTGGCAGGAGGAGGAGGGCGGACGAGGGAAGGGGGGAGGGAGCAAAGAGCAATACGACGACACGTCTCTACTGGTTGACTTGTACGGTCAGGCGAAGGATCCTACGGGTTTGCTGCCACGTACGGAGGAGGAAAGGGAAAGAAGTTCGATCAGGTTCCACCTTGTCTTGTCCTACATCCACGTCCTCCTTCCTCACTACTGCGGCAGTTTGCCTATGTCTTCTCCGAGCCCCGGGCTACCGACGAGAACCCGTCATGGTGCTTCCTGCGGCCTTTCCTGCTCCTCTTGCTCGCTGCTCGTTGCTCGCTGCTCCCCTATCCACCTCCTCTCCTCTCTTCTCTGCTACTGATTGCCTTGTAACAACACGCAGGCTCAAGACCTCCACGGACAAGCGCGGAGACTTTGTAAGGAGGATGAAGGACAAGAGGTCAAATGATGATGATGATGGTGGTGATGGTGGTGATGGTGGTGGTGGTGGTGGTGATGGCGATGGTGATGGTGATGGCGATGATGATGACGATGATGATGATGATGGTGATGATGAATTGGTAATGTTGAGGAGGAGGAGGAATTTAAGTATGTTCTACAGGATGCCACAGGATCTCGTTCGCATAGTTGAGAATGCAGATCGATTCTTCGACGTTGGGGTTTATTTCCACAACCCTCTCGTCACCTGGCATAAAGGATCTGCCGTCCTACTTGGCGATGCTGCGCATGCGATGCCTCCGTTCCTAGGGCAGGTTTCTCTCCTCCCCTCCCCTCCCTCTCCTCTTCTCCCCTCCCCTCCCCTCCCCTCCCCTCCCTTCCCTCGCCTTTCCTTCCCTTCCCTTTCCTTCCCTCGCCTCTCCTCCTCTGTCTTCCCCTGTAATTCATATCGTGTTCGGCTCTTTCAACCCAACTGACGGCGCCAAGGGTGCGAACCAGGCGATGCAGGACGCGTATTGCCTGGCGTCCAACCTGGCAGAGATCGGAAAGAAGCATGCTTCCTTGCCAGGTGGGAGATCCTGCGAGGGAGCAGGGGCAGGAGGTGTGAAGCTGATGCGCTGCAGATGCGCTGAAGGCATACGAGAGGAGGAGGAAGCCGCCGACGACCCGCATCATGCTCAACTCGTGGATCCTCGGGAACCTCGAGACCCAGACAGGACTGGGAGCTAGCTTCCGAGACAACTTCTTCACTGCTACCGGAGCCCTGGGTGAGAGGATGTGGGAGGAGGGAGGGGAGGATGTGGGAAGGGGGAGGAAAGGAAGAGAGAGCACGGGGAGGGCGAGGGAGGAATGGGGGGAGGAGAGAGGATGGCAGGAGAGGATGCGAGAGGGAGAGTAGAAGTGCCGGGGAGTCCCTGAGTGACAAGATGAGCAGGAGTTGCGGAGAAAGTCTTCTTGGATGGGGCAGTGCCGAAGGTTTGACGAGAAGCAGTGGAGGGAGTAGAGTGGATGAGCCTCAGGGGCGAGGAGAGAGAGAGGAGTTGAAGTGACGGGAGAGCATCGCAGAGCGGGGGAGTGTAGAGAAGGGGAGCGAAAGGGACGGGAGAGGAAGTGGAGGGGAGGAGGAAAAGAGAGGAAGGATCAGGTTGGACAGATGTTTGGAGCAGAGCGGCGGGGAAACAAAGGTATGGATTCAGCTTTACTTCATTCATTTCTGTCAAAGTTAATCGTTTACAAGTTTGCAATCATATACATGAGCTCCTCCTCCCCGTTCCTCTCCTACCACATCTTGAGCTGCTTCGACGCCCTTCCGTACCCCTCCTGCTCTCCTCCCTCCTGCACCTCAAGGGTTCTCTTCGCAGGGGACAACACTGAGTCTCCTCCCTTCTCCACCAGAGCCTGCCAAGCATGTCAACACCCGCCTCCTCCCTCAGCTGCTCCTCCGACCTGTCGAGAGTTGGAACAGGGGAAGACGCCTTGACGCGAAGAGAGGAGCGAACCAAGAGAGCTGCACAATTCTCAGAGAGGAGGAAGAGAAGGAGAAGGTGAGAGAGCTTAGATGAAGGAGGGGAGGAGGACGAGGTGCAGGAGCAAGAGGAGCAGGTGCACGAGCAGGAGCACGAGCAGGAGCAGGAGCGGGGTAGACGGAGGCGAAAGGAGGAGGGAGGAGGGAGGGGAGCAACAACATACTTGTCCTCTCCTAGTAGGTGTTGCAGGCAGTCTAGCGAGTCTCCACTGAAGTTGCTGCCCATGATTTGACCCTGGCTGCTGCTGTTCTCCTGGATCTCGTGCTCCTGCAGGAGGTAACCTGCGGCAGGACCATCAGACACGGAGCTCGTCCCCTGCTGGGATACCTGCTGGCCATGAGCGGTTGTCGATGATGACGTGGCGGAAGGACTGGGAGTTTCCTGATGGGACGAGATCGGCGAGCTCGAGCTCCTCGTGGCAGTGCAGATCGACTTCTCTGCTCTTCTTCCCGTCCTCTGCCACGGAACTCTTGGAGCTGCTGTCGTCGCACGAGATGCTCTTGTGAGAGCTGGCCGTGGAGTTTTCCATGCTGAGGATTGACTTGACGTTCTGGAATGGAACAAAGTCGCTCGATGAGGAGGACGAGGATTCGCCATCGAGGATACAAGGTTTGTTCCTTTCCTTGTCTTCGCTCCTGTCTTCGAGCAAGGCCGGGCGTTCATTCGACACATAGATGTGATTGAAGCAGAGCATGCCGGGATAGAGGTTGTCGATACTGGGCGGCAGTTCAGAAGCAGGAGGAGGAGGAGGAGGAAGAGGAGGAGGAGGAGGAGGAGGAGGTACCTGTAGTGTAGACGAAAGTTGGAAGGACATCCGATTAACTGGAAGACTTCCCCTGTTGCGATGTTAAGGTCCTTGGGAGTCCAACCCTGGTGATCCGGTCGTTGGAGGCATCGGACTCGAAAGACAGGATGCGAGAAGTCCAGGCTGAGGTGCTTGCCAGCCAGATGATTCATTCTTGTGATCTCCTGCCCAACTACTTGACTCCACTTCTCGCACAGACGTTGCGCCACTCGTCCGATCGACTTGCTCGGCTTTAGTGTCAGTTCCAGCTGAGGATTCAAACCACACCTGATGAGAGGATCAATACCTGATCAACAAGAGGAGAAGGGGAAGAGTGAGGTTGTTGAGCAGTACACGAGGAACAGCCAGAGCAGGCGGAGCAGGCAGATGAGAGGAGAAATGGCGTCTACCTTGTCATGAGAAGGGAGAGGTCGGTGTACTGAGGAATGAGCCTGAGATTGAATCTGACGGGAAGAGGAGTTCCACAATCAACTGTCGAAGGATTTTCACGCTCGGGGGTTTTGTGACTTTGCAAGCCCGGATGCATCGATCCTGCGTGAACGAAAGGTTGGGGGATGGCGCTTGGTTGGATCGAGCCTGCGCACATGGATGAGATTTTTGTAAGCTCGTGTGCAGATGAAACACCTCCACAGGGATGAGATGAAGGTTTAGCAGCAAGCACTGATTGTTTCACTGCAGAGTTTGCATTCACGGAGAGACTGATTTCAGAAGATCGAATACCTTGACAGACTTTGGTGTCGCATTTCTCTGATCTTTTCAAACCTGAGTTCCAACATCACAACCCGCAACATCTCAGTAGACTCGCAGCACAACTCGCACCTATCTCACAGATCGTTGGTTTCACCTCATCACGCAATGGTGCAATCTCAGCCTTCTTGTTCGACTCATCTTTCGAAGGATGAAGAAGAATCTCAAGCGTATCAATTGGATATTTTCTGGAGTCTGGAAGGTTCTCAATAGTGATTGCTGACTTCTTCCATAGCTCGTTAGCGAAGTCTCTCCTGACATCGTCTTCCAAATTAGTACTGATCTTGAAGAGATTAACACTGGTGTCGTCTTCATTCCCCTTCCTGACCAGCTCCCACCTGGAAGGAAAACGAGTTACAAAGAGGCGGATACCATTGCAGAACGTGTCATGTGTACCATGCCAACATCGCTTGAACCACTGTTTTCCCCTCAGACCCCGAGAATTTATCGATCTTTGCTCCGGTGATCGATATTACCTATGAACAGCGCTGAATATAAACTAGATGAGAGAGCGATATCTACCTGATTGATCTTCTTTACAATTCGATAATAGTAACAGCGAATCTGGAATCATAGTGATTGTAACGAAAACGACTGCACCTTATGAACCTGTTCTCTAGTTTTCCTTCCACCCATGCGATCCTTAATTTCATTGAAAGATCTCCCATATTCACGAAGCAGATCAAAGAACATGTTGTTTTCTTCCGCAGACCAGGTTCCTTGGATTCTCTTCTCTCTATCGTCATTACACAACGAATTCAACTTCTCATTGAGTGAGATCCTGCTCTCCAAGTCTGACATGGGATCGGATGGCTTCAGTCCCTGCGTCGTAACAAACCTATCCTGCATTCCTGATTTGACGATGGGCAGTGATGAATCCATGGTGTTGTTGGGTGCAATTTTCCGTAAATCTGCTTGCATTGTTTCTGAAGAAACCCTAACATTTTGCTTTTCAGGATTATTAGCACCAAGTGAAATAGGTATTGTCATTCCAGAGGATGAAGAATGGACTCGTTGGTTTGGTGGTTGGAAAGTGACTTTCTGATTGTTAATTTGTGTTGCACTGGCAATTCTCTCAGGATTGTTCGGTTTTGTGTCAGGATAAGAAGCCAATGCTACTAAAGCCCCATTTGATGGCTCATTTACAACTGTTCTGCTGGCAGTCGCTGTCTCAGACTTTGATGCATTGCTGAACTCGCGTGCCTGGGTTGAATCAGCAATGAGTATGTTGAAAAAGGAGTCTTTGCTATTTTCCCCGAACAGGCTGACATTCGACAAGCTGACCTGCTCCTGAGTATTGCTGGTAAAGATATCTGCAACAGAGCACAACGAAAAGTTCGAACGACAATCTTCCGCATTCAATCTTTCACATCGTTTCGGCAAATGAGGAATTTCCATGTTCTCAGCAAATCGTCAGAGCGTTGAAAATGAGAGAACCAGCTGACTCTCTGATGAATGCACGAGGCTAGTGGTTGTATGATTGCTTGCGCAGCCCTGCAGCAGAAGAATCAGAGTCAGAGAGGTTGGATTAATCTGTCAGGTGTCTGTTTCATTCCCTTCCTTTCGAAGCAAGTAGAAATCATATGATAGGTGTGTGAATCTGTAGAGCGATGCGAAATTTCAAAGATAATGATATCAAATGCACTCAAAGATCAAAAATGAGATACACATATCACCAAGGAAATACAAGTGTTTAGAAGTTTCTGAGTACATTCTTGTGAATCAGGTGAAAAAGCAAAGGGATAAAGCATGCAAACAGATAACGAGATTCAAAGTAAGATTGAGGAGACAACACAGAGTTGTTAGAATGGAATGGGACTACCATGCACCAAAAGAATGGCAACTTCCAATGCCATCGTAGCGATGGTCGAATGGAGAGAGGGGGAGGGAGGCATGAAGGGAGGGAGG